GTTTCTCAATACCTCAAATGCTTAATAATGAGTGACGAGGTTATCGCGCCTAATGAAAATATTTCAAGGATTCGTCGGAATAGAGACGAGGAACCACCAAGGAAACTCCGTGGTGCAGTTGCCAAGGTATTGGCTTCGGCGTCGGGTGTCGTGGGTTCGATTCCCACACGGGACAACTATTTGTGCGAACCACAGATAGTTGTTTCGCATTTGGGTGTTTGTCTAACGTGAAATTTATGTTTGTAAAACGTCCCTACAACACAGGATAATGTTATCCTAAAGTAAGGGCAAAGTTTTTCAAAAACAAAAAAAAAAACTCCGAAAGCGTGACTGGTTGCGGAATCTGGATAAAAGGTTTGATTTATTGTCACAACAATTGGTGAGTCATGTGAATAATATTTTAGCTTCGAATTATGCTATTATGGTCGTGAACCGGCGGCACAGTGATGTGAACTCCCTCACACTTACAGATACCACAACAACCTATTAATAGTGTTCCAATCTAGCTTCAACAGCAGGTGTTAGACATACCCCCTTCTTGTGATTATATGTTTAACCCCGGATTACAAACTGCACATATACAAAAAATTGGTGGTAGAGATAAATTACAAAAGCCATTTCGAACTAAGTCAAATTCCAATAAAATTAAACAGGCCGAAAACGGAGAGCATTTCTATCCAAATAACTCCTCGGCAAATAAAACTCGGGGAGGGGTACGCAAGTACAAAACTGGAAGAAAGTCGGGAAATAAAAATAAATGACTCTACCGGATTTTCAGGCCGGTGTCTAAGACTCTACCGAAACACCTGGAGTCGCTCCAATGCACCCAACGTAATATTAAATTACAACGTAATGTTAATAATGTCGATCGAAATTCAGAATTTTAAGTCAGTTGAGAGTTTTAGAACCCTCTCTCCTGACACCGTCTTTCATATCTCCGACTTTAATAATTCCGGGGACCAATTCAATGTCAAGGCGTTGAATCAATACATGAAACCGACATATTTTCATCTTTTCCACCATCACCAAGCGCCCAATTTCTTACAACAGGGAGATTGGATGGTCAAACTGAATTTAAGCCAGGCCTACTATCATCAACCGATAAAAAAGCAGCACAGAAGGTTTCTCCGGATCAGTTATCAGGGTCGTCTACTTCAGATGACTTGTCTGCCATTCGGTTTCGCTGCAGTACCGAGGATTTTTGCTTCAGTAACAAACTGAACAGCCGAAATATTTCGCAAAAACCGTCTGCGACTAGTGGTCTATCTAGACGATTATCTGTCGGTACACCAGGACAGAGACATTTTGGAAGCTCAAGTAAAGATGGCCATACGTTTTCTGCGCAGCTTAGGTTGTTGGGTCAACATGGAACAATCGGTTATGACACCGATGAGATTAATAAACTTTCTGGGAATTGTATGGGACACCAAATCCAACAGCAAGTCCCTGCCATTGGACAAAATACAAAAAAAAAATCTTCAGAATTTGCTCGTGCGACTTGCGGCCGGCAGTTGAAACCTAATGCAGGCGCAATGCCTTTTAGGATACTTGAACTTCGCGACTTTTATCACCCACCGCGGTAGGTTGCATTGCCCAGTCCTGCAGTACCACAGCAACAAGCTCAGGAGGTATCCTCACTCACAAAACCAGTATCCGGACGAGGTACTTACAGAGATGGAGTGGTGGTTAGAGAACATCAGTCAGAGGACACCAATTCACATCCTCAGAGAATGGTCACGAACCACGTTATCACCAACGCGTCGGACATTCGATGGGGAGCCCTTGTAAACACCGAAATGGTAAAAGGGTCATGGGAACACCACCAGAGAAAATGGCACTGCAGTTTGATGTTTGCAGTGATAGCCGCCATATCCTCCAGAGCCATGTTGTTCCAAGACTCGACAGTCATTCTTCAGAGCGACAAAAAAACAGTAGTTTCTTACATAGAACGAGGGAGAAACCCGGTCGCGACATTTGCTACATCTGACTCAAAAACTACTGGCCCTAATAGACCACCTCGATGTTTTACTTCTCCCTCACCACCTACCGGGACTGTACAACCTCGAAGCCGACCACCTCTCGCGCAATCGCGCCGGCTCCGAGTGGCATCTCACAGAAAAAAGCAACCACGAGGCTGTTCAACCTCTGGGGGACACCAGACATAGACTTGTTCGCGTCTCGGACCACTCACGTGGTAGCAAGCTATGTTACTCTAGACTTGCTAGACTCGAACGCCTGCTTCCACGACGCGTTCAGCAGATCTTGGCACCACCAACTGGCATGGTTGTTACCTCCGCCCAGTCTGATACCCAGGGTGGTAGGCCAAATCAACTCAGCCTCATGTCGGTACATACTAGTGGCACCCAAGTGGAAGAAGCCTTTTTGGCGGCCAGACCTGAAGACACGGCTTTCAAAGGACCTGTGAAACCCAGAGATCTGAGCACCAGTCTGCAATCTAAACCTGGGAGCTTGGCTCATTTCGGGTGGGACACGCTGACAGAGACATGGACATCGCACGAGAAAAGCTTGTAATTATCTCATGGTCTCTCCTAGCGAACCATTCTAGCTCATAAATCGGTTATAGCATCCGTTTGCGAAACTATATCGGAAATAAAAATAGCGTCGTGCCCAATAGTGAAACATGTACTAAAAGCTATTTCCTGGGCTAAACCTGCACCTCAGAGTTATAATAGAGATTTAAGCTAAGCTATTTTGCTGTTATCACCGAGTCGTACAGTACATGACCTTACTATTTTACATATTGACAGTGACCATTTTATTGACAATATTGTCAATTGCATCCCATATTCGGATCGAAAACTGATTCATCTTCATATCAACTATCAAGTTGGACATTTGTGTCTGCTCCTGACCGATTAATCGATGCAGTATACTGGCTACACACTCTAGAGAATATGACACAGCAAACTAGAGACTTTTGAGACTTTTTTTCGGTGATTATCTTTGCCTTCTTAAATTATTTATTAGGTCTGCCAGTAGATGTTACATTAAAAACAATATGAGTACATGAAACATGAATTAATGTTACAACTAAATGTACATCTAATTAAGAGGTAAACACAGCATGCTTAAAAATTAAAAAAAAGAAATGAATAAAAGTAAAACGAAAAGTATGAACAAAATTTCGTTAGGCTTACTTATTACTAAATAAATTAAGATTTAAAAAAAGCAGATTGTAATTTTATAAGGCAAGATAAAAAAAGAGTAAAATCTATGAAGAAATTTAAGATACACGTACACGGTATTGTTTTAAATGACAAATGTTAGGTTAAATACAACATCAAACAGAATACAAATGACTTATACAAATAGAAATTACTTAAATCTTAGCGTTAAAATAAATTTAAAATAAGAAGCTCTTAAAACTTCTTTTTTTAAGATATTCATTTATTTTACTCCGAAATACTGTTAATGAGTCAAATTGAATATCAACGGTTGTGGTGCATTCATTAATTAAATTAGACAAGCCAGACACTGGTTTTTTTCCCCGAACAGTGCGTTTAATTACGCAATATGACATGATAATAGGATTTGTGATCAGGACATGTGTGACAGCGCGTGCATCTCCAAATGTGCCAGACTCACCAGACAACCATAGAACAGAACATTTTACTCAAAGTGCATATTATCTTGAGTTAGTGACACTTTCGCTTAACTGTGGTCTTTGGGTTACGCTCACATGACACTTCCACTTGTTCTCTCTATTCCGTGTTTGAGCATAGTCGAGTGTCAGTACTCGCGTAATATTTTTTCTTGTAAGAGATTTATAAAATAAAATCTTAAAGTCCAGGCTTTAACGTGTATTTTTCTTCGAAAAAGCAGGAGGTTCTCAATTCGGCTGTATTTTTTTGTTTGTTACCTCAAAACTTTAGACTGAGTGAACCGATTTTGATAATTCTTTATTTATTTCAAAGCTGGTGCTTCCCATGTGGTCCCACCTTAATTTCATTATCCATCATGGGGTCCGGAGAAAGTTAGAATGAAAACATGAATACAGACCGAGATATTTCAAGTCTGTTTTATTTTTCGCTAATAAAAATGGACTTGTAAATAAAAGCAATTAATATTTAAGTTTAAATATTGTGCATATTTAATGCCGATAGCAACTAATATACATATGTAATTCACAAAATACGACACAAGCATTACTTGTAAACCAGGGTTGATAATTTTTGTAACCAAAAAAATGTTTGCATTTTCTGAAAACATTTACCTATTATAGTAACGTATATTTTTTTTTACACCATATGAAAGTTGAGATTTCACCGAAAAAAAGGGCCAACCGACTTTTTTAAAAAGCAGCTTATGCTTTTCGATAAATTAAATAAACTACACAGTATTTGGGACGTAAAAAGCTAAGTTTTCACCAAATTTCATGAAAAATAACATTTTTGTAAAAGATTAAAATAAAATACCTGGTTATTTGAAAAAAAGTGTAAACATCACATCTTTTTATTACCCACAACTTTGCCTTTTAACTTTTTTCCATAGGCCTTGTAGTTTTGCCGGAAATCGAGATAAACCCTTAAAAACTTAAAGCCCCCAACCTCCCGAACTCAGATCGGACTCTGGACTGTGCGCGAGCACTGGTGAGAACCACTTCCACTGTTCTCTATTTCTGTTTCGGGGTGAGGACCACTTCCACTGTCTCTATTCCGTGGTCCTTAATTAACCAATGTAAAGCGGGGTTAAAGCGAAAATTAGGCTATTTTTTTCTAATTTGTGTTATATATTTGTGCAACAAAGGTAAGAAGATGGCTAAGAAATAAATTTTCTGTTCTATTACGACACTGGCAGAGAGTATGTGATTGTTGCCGTTATTTAAAAAAGTATCTGTATTCATAATTTTAATAATGTTTTAATCCTAGCTATAAACTAAAAATAACTATTTCAGTTTTATTGGGGCAAATGAGGAAATTAACCGTTGAGTACTTAAAATCATAATAAATTACTATTATGTACTTTACAGTTAATAGATAATGGATGATTTGACTCCATTAAAAACTGATCATAAACAAGTATTTACTGTGTTGGAAAACTCTACGTTAACCTCAAGTTTAAAACATAAAAATACTGTTACAAAATACACAAAGTTACCACATTTTGATTCTAAAGGTACGATTTTTACAAGATCTAGAAACATCATTTATATGTTACAAATGATTTATGTAAACGCTATATGTATTCATATTAATCGTTTACGTAAATGTTTGCCATTTAAAATCCAGCTGTTGTTAATATTACTCTTTGCTAATCATAAATGTTTTATTTCGTTTCCTTACTAGCATCATGGCCTCATCACAATCATGTATTACGTCCACGGTTCCGGCGCATTGTTACACTAGAAGATCAGCCGACTGAAACAACCAGATCAATAAAACAAAAGATAATAACCCCAAATATGATTACAACAAATAGCCCCAAACGAAAAATTAAGATTATCACCATAGAAGATGATGCTGATTCAAATTATTTTTCTAATTTATGTGAGTACTAATGTCTGTGTAACGTCTTTTTTTAGTATTTTAGGCTCTCTTTTAATTTAAATTGTATTCCTCAATATCTTCACATACACCAATTTCTTCTTCAGAACAAAATGCAGCCACCTTATCAATGGAAAATTTTGTGAAGTTTTTCTAATCAAGATGTTTTTAATCATTATGAAATTTCATTCTTACCATGAATTGTAATATCTAAGTAATTGTGTAATTCTTATTTTATTTTGAATTTTAGAACATGCTATAAATATATGATGAGAAATTGTTAAAAGCCACTTTTTTTTTATACAGCCTTTGTCAAAAGTATAATATAATTTTTGAGGATTGTTACTGTTGTAACTAAATGTAACAAAATAACAAAATAAATTTAAACAGTTTATTGTAGGTTCATCTCATTATATTCATATAAAATCAATATTTGGTCAGTCCACCCTTTGTGTTGATTACTTTAGAAATTATTTCGTAGAGAGATAAAAGGTTTTCCTAGGATCTTCAAGACATATTGTGTTCAATTCTTGTCGCAGATGGAGCTTTAATTCCTGTGGTGACCAAGTTTGAGCTTTATGACCTCCATAAATATTCTATAGGGTTCATGTTTTGGGGACAGGGCAGGCCAGAGCTAAATGGAATTTTCTGTGAACCATGCTATTATTTGTGTGGACTAATTTATGCATGGGAATCATTCTGTTCGAATTTAACCCCATCGGTGTTCCCATCTCCAAAAAGCTTTGAAAATGTGAGGACTAATGCTGACTCGAGGACATTCATATAAGAACATTTTGAAAATACCATAGTCCATCATACATCTCCGTGTTTTACATTAGGCACCACAGTCTGATAAAATTCTTTGCCTACTTGTCGATAACCAAATGTAGAGCTTTAGTTAAATTAAAGTATAGCATTGCATTTTATTTTGAACTCATATTGTTAATGGCTATTAGGTTATTAAATTGACTTACTAACCGCAAACCTTGATTCATCTGACCACACAATATTCAATCTTCTTCACAATAACTTTAGTATTTTAGAGACCATTCATACAATGCCTTTTTGTTGTTATAGGAGAGCCAGGTTTTCTTCCAGGCTTTTCAGCCTTTTAAACCAGCTTCCTGAAGTCTTCTATGGAGGGTTTGAGTTTTCTAATTTCTATTGATCTACTTATTGTATGTAATGATAACTCACAGTAAGATTTGATGAAGTTTTTTCTTTTTTTTTTTTAACAGCTCTCTAAGTTTTAAAACTTATAGAAGGCTCTCTAAGTTAATTTCGATCCTCACTGGTCCATAGTGATATCACTAAACATATGTCTAGCAGACATAACATATCATTACAGATTAACATATCTGGGCTTATTATTATGTGATTTGGTAGCAGTGAATCATTGAAAAGCATATTGCATAAATATGCATGAACATTTCATAGTTTTTGAAATCTTTAATTGTGATGAATGTATTGTGCAAAAATTGAATTTCACACTTTGTATTTGCACACAATTTTAAACTAAGTTTGTTTCTTATTGACAAAATAGCACCAAATGTAAAAAAAACTAAAAGACTAATAGCTCACTAGATCACTGGTCATTTACACAACAATATCATAAGTGTTAAAATTACATATTTTTATTTCGCCAGGTATTTTATTTATTACTAATTAAGGTCGAGTTAATTTGTTTTTATGATACCTAAGGGGCCATTTTATTTTGTCTTCTTAGGGACCAAATAGTTAATCATTAAACAATGGGCTCTTTTTATGTTCCTCATTTTGCACACCTGCAAAATTTATATGGTGCTCAATACTTTTGGCCAAGGCTTTACATACATATATCAACTTTGAGTATATACAGTTTTATAGATTGTTTGTTCATTACTGTGTACTTGATCTTGCTAACTTTAATTGTTTATAGCCAAAGATGTTAAGAAGACTGCAACATTAAATTGTACAAATAGAGCTATTCAGGCAAACTACACTGATGGAAAATCACAAGGTTTACAAAAAGCTATTTCTAGAATTACTGGCTCGACAAAGCATTTAAGTATGTACTTCTATAGTATATTCTAGGAATGTGTAAATTCTAATCTAAGACTTACTCTTATTATTTTCTGACCTTCAGTCCAGTCTTGGTAGCAGATTAAAAAATAACTTGAAATAATTGTCAGTTATGACAAATAAAGAGTTTGTGAAGGTCCGAATTGAATTTGATAAGTCATAAGAAAACTGATGTTAAAATTATTGTTGCTGTTTGTGAACTTGGAAACTAAACATGACATCATATTATTGCATAAATAAAAATAATTAAACTTTGTCATGGCTGTACCATTGAGAAAGAGAGGCCAATTTATTTCCAAATTTCATATTTGATTACTGTCTAGTAGTGATTTAATTTTATTTATGATACTTAAGCCAGTAAAGTTCAACTCATAGTACAAAATTAATTTGTTTGTTCATAGTGAATGAAAACATCATTGGTAGGCCTAGGATCTAAAAATAATGTACCAAATATGCCAATTTAAACTAGTGCTGTCTAATGGACAATGCCCTCTTTCTAGAGGAAGCTTTCTTCTAACAGTATCTATCTATTTAATATATAAAATTCTTGTGTCACAGATTTAGTGTATTTAGATTTAGTGTGTCATTACAACCTCGACAATAAATGAATACACATCTAACGCTAAAAAATATAAACGTGAAAAAAATTTATAATTATAAATAATTTTGTTTGAAACAAACTAATTAGATAAAATAATAAGATACAAAATTTGTAACATCATATACAACTACAACTGATTGATTCATTCACTCAGAGACTTTTTCATTTGTTACCACAGTGTTGCATTACAAATCTCACCTTCTGACAGTATGTTTATCTCTTTTAAATTCATTCAACCCATTCATATGCTTTGTGACCTTTACAAATAAACTTTACGTTACAGTTTTATATGTAAGGGTTGCTAAAATTGTTTGTTTTGGAAAATTTAATAACTCGGTAAATATTGATGCTTAAAAAAAATTTTCCAAAACAAGGAATTTTAGAACAGCCTTACCTATAAAAGCGTAACGTAAAGTTCATTTGTAAAGGTCACAAAGCATATGAATGGGTTGAATGAATTTAAAAGAGACAAAACATACTGTTAGAAGGAGAGGCTTGTAAAACGACGCTGTGGCGCGAGTTGTATAGGATGTTACAAATTTTGTTTCTTTTTTACTTAATTAGTTTGTTTGAAAAATATTTTTTTTAATAATGGATTTTGTTTAACGTTAATATTTTTTTATGATTATTGGCAAGTAGCGTTAGACGTGTGTTCATTTATTGTCGCGATGGTAACGACACGCTGTATATTTATATATTTTTTTAAGTTTTTAGAAAACTATACTCTTCTTTTTCTTAGATTCAAGAGAAACAAGACATCACACAACAAAATCTAAAGATTTATGTAATAAAAACCAGATTAATAAACAAAGTTTTAAACAGTTGCACAACAAAGAAATAAAAACATGTGAAAATGACAAAAGGGTAAAAATGTTTCACACAAAAGGAAAAGGTATGTATGCAGTTATTATTTTATTGATTAATACTTCAACATTGAGCTTTCTATAAAATATTTAAGAGAACATACTCTGCATTCTATGCACATATTATTAGAACAAAATAAAAATTAAATGAGGCCCGAAATTGATATACAAGTGTGTAGCTGTTATGGCTGCTACTCCATGAAAGTGCTGATGTAAACCATATTCATCCAGATGTGAAATGTTTTCCCAAAACTATATATATTTCACTATGGTTGAGGCAGTGCCTTTGGCTGCTGAGTAACTGGAATTACTTATTTATATGATAAGCTTGGAAAAAAGCTAGTGGTCCATCTCATGGAAACCGATTACCGACGCCTATGGATATCTACAACACTAGGGGATGTTGAGGTTGCGTTGCTAACCTTCAAAATATTGGGTTAGTCCAATCTGCTTTGCATTGGTCTTTTGTAAGGCTGTAGTACTTTCTCAAGTGAGCCTAGGTTGGCTCTATCATACTGCAAGCTTTATGATGGAAGTGTTATTAAACCTGAGTTAAATATAAACAGGCAGTATTGGCATTTTTGTATTTTAACTAGTTTGTTATATTGTTTGATATGTTCATAGTGCAAGAAGCTACTTTTCAAGGAGCAAAATAGCTTAAGTAGGAATGTTTGCCATGTAATATTTAGGCTGCATGGCACAAATAAAGTTCTTAAAGTGATTTACCACTGATTTCAAGTTGAATTGTTTTCGGACAACATAATCTACTAACTCTTAATCGGAGCTCTTTACAATTGTAATTATTCCGAAGTATTCTTTTTATTAAAAATATTTTGTTTTATATTTCAGATATGTCACAAAACGTCAAAAAGTCAAACAAGTCAAAAATTAGTACGAGTAAAAATGTAACTGTCTCAGTAGACCAGGGAAATGAATCACTTACTAATAAAGCACAAATATTTGACAATATAAAGAATAGTGTGTCATCTAATAAATCTAATAACAAGGCCACAAATTTAAAAAAATCTCAACATAATCACAATAAATTAGAGTTTGTTAATAATATACTTCAAAAGAATAAACCTATTACAGTTATACATGTACCTCTTGATGAGAAATTTCAAAAAGAATCAAAAAAAGAAAATGAAGCTTATAAAATAGATAGTGCTTCTCCTGAAGTAAATAAAGCTATAAGTTTCAAAGATATCAGCGTTGGCACCGAACCTATGCCAAAACAAGAACATCAAAACACTGAAACTGATATAGATCTTTATACAATGTGCAAGATGGTAGATGGTAGAAGTATAGGACATAATGTAATTAACGAGAAATTTGATAGCCTTAGTATACCAAAAGTAACATTAAAAAAGGAAAGGAAAGATCTTAGTAGAAAAAATGTAGTAAATTTTTATAGCACATCTTTACCAAATCTGGAGACGCCTAGAATAGAAATGATTCCAATCAAAAGCGATAAATGTAGAACTGACTCCAGATTTCATAAAAATTCTTCTTATATCATTGGAAGGGCCACTGTCACATACACAAGAGAACAAAAAATTGATTTTCATGTTGTAGAGAAGAATGATAGAATAACTACCAATTTATGTTCAACTTCCTTGGCATATCCTTTAAATGTTGTTTCGATTTTCAAAAATGAAATCACTAATAGAAAACCCCGCGAAAAGAATTCAACGAAAACTGACAAACCAGAGTTGGGTTCGAAAAATTATGATGATCTCAGTTCCTCTAATTGGCCCCATGCCTCGGGCAGCGTTAAGTTAGTTAAGCCGTCAGACATAATCAGCACTTATAGAGTTAATAACAGTTTTTTAAATAGCGACTATATTTGCGAACAGTTCCAGAGGGAACTCAATTTTATCGATTCATTTTTTGAGTCCCTTCAATACTTGGAGACACTCTCGGAAAGAAGTTTCACAGATGTAAACTTGAACAGTTTGACTTACAACAAACCATTCAAAGACAATAAACATTCTGGGTATTTCACAAATTTTACAAAGATTGAAAATGGCCCTTGTGTTGATGATACTGAAACAATGGCCACCAAGAGTCTTTGTCAGGTGAGTGTTATCCTTTCCAGACATAAACATAGAAACTTATGGTGTTACAATTATGTGACACTGCGCTGTAATAAGCCAGTTGGGTAATTTGCAATTAAGTTGTAGTAATATTAATGAGTATAACAAATGCAGTTATAACAAAATTGGCTAATTTTTAGTATTTCAAATACCATATAAGATGTATGAAAATTTGATCATGTAAATTTGTTTCAGCTCAACTTACTCATTCATAATGAGCAGAGACGAGCAAGAGATTTTTTATTTGTACTTAAAATGCAAGAAGATGTTCTGAAGGACTACATAAAGTCTCAAATGCTATGGTTGGAGAAGAAAAAGAAGCAAGACAATACGGACATATCGGCACTGAAGAAAAAACAACGTGGCGCTTTACTGAAATTGCAGCATGAATGTGGTGAAATGCAAAGGATGCGCAAAGCGTTGCTCACTCTTTCCGAAAAACGTAAAGTTGCGCTTATGAGGACGAAAAAGAATATCGAAATGAAATTGAAAAACAATGTAAATGTTGAACAAATTCTCCTGGGGAAGAAGAAGTTGAAGCGCAACACGGCGTCTGACCGCTGCGTAACTCCCATAAAATGTTTCGAACTCTCGAGCAGTTGTGAAGACTCTACCACCTCTCGGACGAAGACTGATTGTGCCTGGTATAGTACGGTCATTGCTGAATCAACAATAAATCGCAATGAAAAAAGTGTCACCAGCGCCGAGAAGAGCATACAAACCGGCGACAGCATCTCTGCAGTTGATGCAAATAATCAATCGACAGCTACCGCGGCTGAAAATTGCATTGTGGTCGATGGGGGATATTTAAACATACTATTTCACAATCTGTCTGTTCCGCAAATCTTTAGCAGCGGCAAACAGTACGAGGTCAATGAGGAAGCCCTGAAGAACATCGTGAACTCATCGAATGCCTGCAGCAATATATCAAAAGATACGGACGCAATTGAAAAGTTCATAGAACAGGTGAAGAACCACGAAACGGAGGGCTCGAGCGGCGCTTCCACGGCCCATAGTCTGGTCGAGGAGTTTGACCAGTACTACAAATGCCTCGACGACGAGGACAAGTCGTTGGCGAACTCGCCCGACTCGGAAGGCCACGAGGGTGAGCTCAAAGAAGCAGAGAGCGACCGCGAAAAATGCGACCACGATGGAGTCTCTATAATCACGATGGAGGGCGACGACGGCTTGCTGACGCGGTTGAGCGAAGTCTACGAGGCCGAACGTTCACGCGTCTGTGAGCCAACTGCTGTGTCTGTTGAGGTTCAGACTTACGGGGTCCCGGTGGTAGGAGCCAGCGTCGCGGGGCCGCTACCCGTACCCGCGGGAGAGGCAGCTATCGAACCGCAGGCGGACCAGACCCAATGGACACCCTCAAAATTATCAAGCGACACAGGTTGGGTGTTTATTTCTCTTGGTTCTTCTATGTATTACTTGTGAGAAGTTTTCTCTTGCAAGTTATATGAATTTCTGAGTACATGTACTGCTACCGTGTAATCTAACCTCTTTTTGCATGGTCATCAATATTTGGAAATTAACCTCTAAAGAACCTTTGCTACTCTGGACTGATTGTATTGTATCAAGTCAATATGATTAATACAATTAAAATTTGAACTACTTTTCAAAATAACTAAGTTATTTTGTATGTGTAAATTACATTATATTTAACTTTATTACAGAGAGCTCTCAAAATGATCAGGTTTTCTACCCGAATATAACACCTATACCTCAATATACATCTCCAGTGCTCCATGAAGCAGAAGAGTTGCGACGTCAACAATTAGCCATTGAAAGAGAGGTGTGTTTCTGTTTTTATAAAATGTTCTTATTTCTAGTAGAATCATTAACATTATTATAAATGAGGTAACTAATTTATAATAATGTTAATGATAAAGAAGTAAAGAAAATAACCACTATTTGTAAATCATCAAAGATAAATAGTTATGCTTCTCAGTAGTAATTGAACTAATTGAGATCATAACAACTATTCAATTAATATTTAAGGCTTTATAATTAAAACAGTAATTGTGTTTTAATAGTCTATATAAAAATCATAATTAGCAAAACAACAATTTAATAGATTAGTTAAGTTACTTTTGAATATTTTGTAATATTTATGTAGTGTAGTATTGTTACAATTTACTTGTTTTTATGTATTCAATCTGTGATCATATTAGTCATCCAAACATCACTAAGTTGTAATTAGAGTTTTTAAGTTGTAAATTAACATTAAATATGACAGTTAATAATTTTTATACATCACACTTGCTTTGAAAATGTCTGTAATCTTATAAAACCAAATAATCAATAATCAAAACATACAAAGGTATATTTTAGATAAGTGTGCATAACCCTTGTTCTGACTTCTAATATTATTGTCTTAATTGAAATCTAATTAATGTCTTAATTGTTCTGACTTCTGCAGTTATTAACATTGTTGCAATTCATAGACTACTCTTTAAATTTATTAAAGAGTTTTATGGTTCAGTCCAGGTTATAAAATGAGTAAGTAGTAAAGTAAATTGGGATGTTTCATGGCCCAGTTATTAAGCTATTGACCTGGATGTCAAAGGTAATAAGTTTGATACCCTCATTGAACAAGTGCTTGCAAAAGCAACAGGATCTCAGTATGTGTCCATGTGTTATTTTGGGCGTAATACGTCCGCAAAGTAATAATTCCCACGCTTTATCCTGGTTAGCAGTAGGAACATCAACTTCAGTGAGGAACACTCAAGTGCTAAAAATAACTCTTATACTCTGACAATTATATAAACCATATCAAAAAAATAGAAATAAGAATGTAATAATGATAATTGTGCTATATGAAACATAACTTCATTTTATTTAAAGATCATATCAGTGAGTAAAGCATAGTAAATATATTTAAGCCATTTAAAAATAATTCTCTCCAAATCTAGTAGTTACAATATTTGTAGAGCTGTTTTTGCTCATGATTTTGTTTTAATAAATAAACTTAAAACTTCTTATGTGACAAAACTATCATTATTCATATATATTCATAGATTTATAAGCGACCTGTAAGAACAGAATAAGCATGTCTAACTTTTAATTTAACTGTATTTTTTATATATAGGTACCCTTAAATATAGATTTTATTATAAAGCAGAATATTTAACACTTCCATATCTCACAAACAAATATTTCATTAGATTGAAAATAATGTGAGAATTATTATTCAAATGTGAAATAATTTTACTCATTATTTGTTCTCTAGATAAAAGCCTTAGAGCAGCAGCAGTGTCTTCTTGTCGTACGTGAGATACCAGACAAACCGCCACCTCCTTATACTCCACCATCTGAAACCCGAATGCCGAAGACTCCTCATATGTTCATGAAGGATGGAGTGACAGAAGAAAAGATTCACAAACATTTTGTTGACTTATCAACAGACATTTTTGATATCAGTGACCCTTTTGATGGCTTTGTCAAAGACTTTTGTGACGAGAGCATTCAGAGGCAGCGGTCTGGAATAAGTGATAAGCCATGGGATGCTTACAATTTGCTTCCTCAGAGACCCCAACCAGATACCAAAAAGATAGTGGAGAAGACATGCACAGAACTAAAAGAAGTGCTTTCTGGGGTAACACCCACTTATGTGTCAGGTAACATTTTATAGTGCTGATCTCTGCACTTAGATAAAACATTAAAATTTTTAGAAAAAAGCACTTAGGAAAAATTAAATTTCTAATAGCCGAGGCGACATCTTGTGTTCGAATTATTGTTGTTAAATAATACTCAAAAGTTTTTGTATGGTGTAAAGGATATATATATAAATATAACAAAGGATGCGCTAAGCATTGCTTGAAATGTGAAAAAAAAACAAGACGTTGAGATTTTCGTCAGTGTGGCAATCAGCCGTTTAGCTTTCGTGATTAAAATGTCGAGGCGAGAAACCCGAAGACGTGTATTCAATTTCCACAGTGGCGAAAAACTTTTAATACTTTTTTCTACAAATTTTAATCTAAAATATGAGTTTATTATTCTTTATATTCTCTTAATAAACTATAGTGCATATTTTTTATTCCGCTCTAGGTGTCAGTTCCAGACGAACAGACCACATCGACGATATATTGTATGCAGAGTGGCGACGTTGTGAGCCAGAATGGACTTCTCTTCATACCGATGAAGCTTTAGTCAAAAACCAACTCTTTGAAAGTATATTTGAAAAAATCCTCACCGAGACCATTGGTGAATACAAAAAAATAGTGTGCAATGATTTGACAAAAAAGTAACAAGTGCATATTAATTAACATGTATAGTAAAATCGCTATAGCAATTTGAATGCTAAGAAAATCGCTGTGCTGTTTTACATGTAATTTATATGGTAATATTAAATTAATTTAGGGAAATTATGGGAAGTTTTCATTGAGACTGTAGTCAAATAGGAAATGATTGATTTTTAACTATTATTTATTATTACTAAGTTTCTACAATTTTATATAAACTTGAATATACAAAACCTTATACAATGAATAAAAGATATTTTTGAAATTTATACAAAATGTATTGTAAAAAAGCTGTAAACATTTTGTTAGAATAAATATTAGTTATCAAAAAGGAATTTTCATTGTTTAAATGTAAAAAACATTTTTTTTCTTCCAATTATTAAATTATTTATTAATAAAAAAGAAAAAATATCACATAGTTCTTACATTTGATACTGACTAAATACTCTATAAACATTTAATAACATAATTTTATAAGCCACAATTATGAATTACACATTGCATAGGTATATAAACAAATAAATATGACAGTATACATAATAAAGAATACTTTTGAATTGTTACAGTGCACACTTGTCAAAAGCTCATTGCAATTTTATATGGCGCTAGCAATATCTAGAGTTTGACTGCAATTTTAAATACATCTCATAAACAATGTTACAACATAACCACACAACAACATTGATCTACTCCATAGAACTCATATACAATAATAATAATTAAACTTAAAACACTGCTGTAATTAGGTTCACGACAATTTAAAACTTATTTTCAAATAGACTAATTAACATGAACTCAGAACTTACATTGACATGGTGCCCATGCACAAGCAGTCTCATAGCCATTATAGCAAACAGAATTCAATTTCCACCCACTTGAATGGTGCAAGAATATTGAAACCTACTCATTGTTCTGAATAAATATGAATCACATGGGACTATTGTGGGATATGATATTATTCAAAAGGCAGGTATTCTGCTGTTTTGCTAGGTGTACTGCCATTTACACTGGTATTTTGTAGCCACCAAGAGAGATACTATATTTGCATTGTTACATCTTAGTCTTCTGCCTTCAGAATTGATTCAAGTGGGTTTGGACCTTTTCTTCTTGGATTAGGAGGTGCTTTTGTTGCTTCCGCTAAAACAAAAATATAATTGCCTTATTGAAAACTTTTCTGATCTTTTGGAAGTACCTCTTGAAATATTATAAATTAAACAAAACTATGTAAGTAGGTACACAACAACAAAATTGTAAATAACCTTAGATTCATTATTAATGCAAAAGCAATAGAGAATATCCATACTTATATTCTTATTTAAGTGTCCTTGAGAAGCCTGCAACACCTCCAGGCAGGCCATCCATTCTGTAATACTTATTTTCGAATCGTGGTTAACGTCGCAATACCTCGGCAACTTTCTACCACACCTCCGCAGTGGTTCCATGTTGGATATGAGCTGGTGAAATGCCTTCCATTCCCGTCTCTCAAGCACTTTGTTTTTGTCTTTGTCTAACATTACGAAAGTCCAAGTAGCAGCTTGTTCTTCCTTCGAGGCACCCCATTTGACCATGTCACTGCAAATACATAGTTGGTCATGAACATCGGTGAATACAAAAGAATAGTGTGTGATAGTGAGAAAAAAACAGTAACAAGTGCATATTAATTAACATGTATAGTCATTGCAAATACATAGTTTGTCATGTACATTTCAATATTGTGACGTGGGGCTTTCATATAACAGATTTAAAAGAGTACACGCATTATGTTGTATGCATACATACCCAGGCCCAGTTCCGTTACTAGTAGCTGTCATTTTGGATATGAAGAAGTTCATCAGATCACGAAGGAAATGTGTTTTCATTGGTTCAGGACATCCTGAAGATATTAAAACTGAATGAAAGGAAATATGAAATACGAAAATAATTTAATTAATTAATGAACCCTTTGTATCTATCTATCCAAACAGTCCCAAATTAATAATACGAAATTCTTATTCTAGTCTGTGTAGTGTGTTCAGCTTAATGCGGATTATCTAAGTTACACTCAAAGTTGAGCTGCATTCACATATATGATGTGTTGTGTCGTGATGCTCTGTCATGATGACTACTGTTCGCATCTATTCATCTATATGACGCGTATTGATACATTTTTTAATCAGTTCCGTCTTGGCTCTCTGCAAATTTACACAATCGCAATGATATATGAATTATCCGATTCAGATTCAGATTTAAAAAATATTTAGAAAAAGTTATGCAATGATTGGGACTAGCAACCCTACTAATAAAACGAAGACGGAGAAGTAGATATTGTATTCATCTAGTAAATTCAAAAAGAGAGACAAAATTAGATATAAGCGAGTTTCGTTGTCTCGTTAAATAGTCTCTCTATTCCGACACGTTTGTTCGCAAATTGCATCGCTGCGCCACCCACCACACCTCACCCATCCTGATTACTGACGTGGACCGGGATCGCTTCTGACAACATAACATCACAACACATTAGGAGTAACCTTTACTGGGTGAAATCGAGTACCTGTTACGCCTGTTCCTGTTCCTTTAAAGTAAAAGTGACAAATACCTGTTACAAAATAACAGCCCGTTATTTCGTACAATGTTGTGAAAATTTGTATGACTGTTACCTCAGTACTGTTACATCATTTTAGTCTGTGGTAACGCCCATTTTCTAACAAAGCTATATGACCGATGCAGGAAAAAGAAAGAGCTTGTAACAGTAGCAGTGTTCAGTAACAACTATGACAAGGTGTAACAGTTTTTATCTCCTTCTAACTAAAGTAACAGTCGTAAGCATGTATAAAGAATAGCTTGTGACAACGTGTTAAGGAGCAATTTGTCTGGAACAGTTAGCTTTCTTTTGCACCACGACTCAACACCTTAGACAAATTTGAATGCAGCTTTATTGTTTAGATTTTATTCCTCAATGTTTCACCGAATTTAAGTTTGCGTAAAACATAAATACAGCGTGCAACTAAACAGTAGTCTGCGATAAATATTACTCGTCGACCTTTGAAAAGAGACAATCGGTTAATTTTGGCTTCGTAGAGCATTGTATCTGTCGCACAAATGACGAAACACTCATAACAGTCCGGTAGGTAGTGACAGAAATAAAGGCCCATTTACACGGTGCCAGTTTCTTGCCTGTTGTATACAATTAAATTGAAGCAATAAATGAGTTGCATGGTCTAAACAAGAAATTGTCTAAACAATTATTGCGCGCAATTTATTGCATTCAATTATTGCTCTTGTATGTTCAACAAAATGGCATCGTGTAAATGGGCCTTAACGCTCTTCGACTAGCCGGTTGTCCTTTTCCAAAGTTCGATGTGCAATATTTATCGCCGAGTACTCTTTTACGTACGTCTTTTTTAATATCGTAATTAAAATTAGTTTCGACGGGACCCTATTACTAAGACTTCGCTGTCTGTCTGTCCTTCTGTCACGCCGCCGTGTCTCATGAACCGTGATAATTAGACAGTAGAAAATTTTCATGGATGATGAAATGGTGATGATGGATATTTCTGTTACTGCTATAACAAAAAAATACAAAAACAGCATAAAAAAATTAAGTGGGACTCTCATACAACATACATGCTTTTTTTCCCGCTCTTTTTATTAATGATGGTACGGAAACCTTCGTGCGCGAGCCCAAAACTCACATGGCCGGTTTTTATTTAACTTTTACGTAATATTAAAATTGTTTATTCATTAAAATTGATCAATCTAACTCTGTTAATAAACATGGTCGTATATTTTATTTATGCTTTGATCGGACTGGTTGATATAATGCATGGCAATTGTAAAATAAAATTCGCGCGGTAATAAATGTAATCACGTGAACGTTCGTTCACCCGGACTCGGTCTCCTTCGAATATTGGCACGTTGAATGTCTCCTGTGCAGTCGGACGGCGCGCGCGTGTGGCGTGGGAAGAAGTATGCGTTCGCCGGACGCGTGGACTCGGTTGTGTGGACGCGACTGTACCTCGCATGGGGCTGGCGTGCTGCGGCGCCGCGTCGCAGTCCGGCTTGCGGTCCTTTACGGAGGAGCCCGGGATGGGCTTGCCGGTGTCCTGGTGCACGCACCAGCAGTACCCGGTGGAGCGATAGCACTGGGCGCGAGCGTACCGCCCGTCGCCCGTGCACTCCGGCACGTACAGCACCGCGCTGCCGTTCTTCTGGACCGCCAAACGGAAACTTATCGTACGCGCGCCATTTGTCTATTTATTTACTAAACCAACAACGTACACAGCGAAACAAGCTTAAAACATAGAGTACATAGCATCTTAAACTGAATCGTATCTCAGTTACAGGTGGATGTTTGCCATTTTACAGATTCTACTCGCGTTTGCACAATGATTCCCTGTATTCACGCTAATAATGACGCGCGTGTATAGCTTAGATAGTGTTTTGACGTTTTAATGTGCGTTTAAACAACGATTTCTTCTTAATACAGCACGCGCGTTATCACTTAAATAGTGCTTTACGGGATTTTATCCGCGGCTTTTTTTATAAGCCAGTTGGCAGACAGTCCGTCCCGCGAATAACACAGAATACTTCGCGAGTTCGTATACGCCGCCCAGAGACCACTGCATTAGCTCACTCGCACACAGCTCAAACGCATTTTCGCATTGATTCTATATTGTTCTGTAATTTAACAGTTCCACTGACACAATTTACAATATTTATCATTTATTTTTTAAATAAGATATCAGCTGATATCCCTCTGTATAGAGTAGGTCTATGCCCATAGGTGAGATATGTATAGGCTGTTGGTAAAAATATAGGTAAAAATCACTATTTTTTGGAGCAAAATAATAGTTCGGCTTTCTTCGGCCAATACCTGCCATTTCAATTATTATTATTTGCATTAACTAAAAAAATGGTACCGAACCAACGGAGTGCATGAAAGCCACATGATAAAGTTAATTTAAAAATAATAGTGTAAAAAGCGCAATCGCATGGCGAGAATAAAGCGTTCGGCATTGCTGGTGAATCTTCGCCGGGCTTGGTTCTATTGGAACAGGTAAGGGAGGGTAGGTGGAGAAAAGGTTGCATGGACCGAACCTGTTCTTCCAGGACGGCCTGTCGATCCGTCAGGCAGTCGTTAGCCTCGTCCTCTCGTCTCGACTCCGCATCGGAGCCGTCCGGCGCGAAGGAGTTCTTCATTATTCCTGGCAACACTGAAGGTGGCCGACGTTTGATGGGAGCACAAAGGAGGGAAGCGAGCGATGGAGAAAGTTGGTAACGTCGCATCAATCCCGGCCCAATTATCTGGATACCCGAGTACGGCGACGGGACACATGGACGCGTGTACGAGTGGCCAGGGTGGCGGACCAGATCCTCCAACTAAATCTACCCGGCGAGTAGCTGAGAAGCGTTGAGAAAACTTGATTTGTTCAACTTTTCTTTCTTTTTATGTAAGAAAAGTTGCCAAGAGAGCAGGAGGTTCACGTGAGTTAGGCGGTTACCGCAGCCCATGGAAGCGGCCGAAACGCCTGACGAGTTGCGGGTACGTTGACAGCCATTAAGAAAGTGGGCATCGGCTACCTCACTCGTAGGAATAACCGCAAAATTATAAGGCTTCCACTACACGCCAGTCTTCTGTGAACGCGTGACACTTCCCCGGACGTGCCTGCCCATTCGTGCAGAGGTAGGCTTTTTTGTTGAAGAATGTAGGCATGCATAAGAATACACCTCGATGTCCAGCGTTCCACAACAGCGCGATTTTTAAGGCATTTCTTGCCTCGCACAACCACTCTGTGGAACCAACTGCCGCCGGCGGTCTTTCCGAACCGTTACGACCTGGGAACCTTCAAGAAGAGAGCATACTCTTACCTAAAAGGCCGGCAACGCATTTGTGAGCGGTAATCACTTACCATCAGGTGAGCCTCCTGCTCGTTTGCCCCTTTTCTCCATAAAAAAAAATATCCTTTAGAGGGACGCAGCAGAAAAAAAGACAAAAACATTGATCAGTTCTTCTATATTGAGAAAAATAAATTGTACATAAACCATGAGTATGTAAAAGAAGGCGAACAATCCGCTCTGGTGATTGTTTTCTCTTCTAGACATACAATCCCAATAATCGACGCATATAATGTTTATCTCGTTCACAAAGCTGACATCCTCGGCTTCATCGCCACACATCGTATGGTGTTTAAAGGATCTTATAAGAATGGTAGGTGATTTCTATCTCACCAGCAGTAAGGGGTTCAACGATAAATGGTCCAATGTATACGTGAGATGATAACATGAAGATAATCTATGAATCGAAGTTTTGATTTTTAGCCTTATTTCTTTAACCCCGCGAGATTTTCTTAAGGTATTGATCATTTTGGAAAAATATTTACAAATAAATATTTTTTACTTATACATACTTTTCAAACGTATTCTCTAAGATCACTTTTGCGATTTCAGATGAGAATAGATAATAAGAACCGTATATAAGCAAACTATCAACAGACTTATCGCCAATCACCGTCAGGTGAGCTGGCAGTCAACCGGTGACCAGATTCGAATAAAATAAATAAGCAAGAAGCATTTATTTACTGGTCGACAAAGAAAAGCGTAACGATATAATCTGCGGTTACGCACCAGCGCTGGGGTCGGGCGGGGGCTCCTCCTCGGTGTAATCGGGCTCCGGCTCGGGCCCACTGTCCTCGTCTGCGTTCAACGACATGAAGAAACGGAGAGAGACTATATATTATTATTATGTTTGCACATACATTCGAGGGCAGAAGTAAATTCGATATTTGAATATTCGTAAAAATAAAAAAAACGAAATCGTTTATTCATCGACATAAGAAACTTACATTCTATCTATCGATAGGCATTTTTTTTTAATCTACCACCGTGTCCCGGGGGTCCTCTAGCGGAGAGATAGCCTGTTTCAGGCGAAAGAAACTCCGTAGGTATCATCTTTTTTGTAATTTAAAAAAATTAGAATATTATATAACTGATATTTTTTTCCTTTTAGAAATAGCTTACGAGCGATTACTCATTCCTAGGGGTTATTGACATTAATTTATTCATTTATATTTACATACTGTTCAATAAAATATGTAAAATATGTTCTGGAAAATCAGGAGTTTTAAAAATTCTTAACAGGGGCTCTAAGCTATACAGCTTGCTTTAAGCTATACTTGTAACTTTCGCGAATCATTTTAATACACCACTAAATTACCTCAATAAACACCATAATAATTAATAACCGTTGTGCCTAAATAAAATGGACATTCGAAAGTCTTCTTAACGTTTTGCTCAATAATAACCCTAACCAAAAATATTTTCCAACAACTTAAAAACTACCGATAGAATTGTAAGTATTCAAATTTTCATTAAATGGAGTTTTTCTCTATCAGGTATACAAAACAGAACCAATTTTATACAAGTTCATCAACTTCCAATTGCTACAAATACAAATGTGTATTGTACAAGATGTAGAAATAGCTTGCACTTAAAAGAAAACAGAAAAACCGGTCAAGTGCGAGTCGGACTCGCGAACGAAGGGTTCTGTAATTTATAGATAACGATAAATTAAAAATGGCAAAAATCATGTATATGTAAGGGAGCTACTTAAATATTTTTATTCTGTTTTTGGTATTTGTTGTTATAGCGGCAACAAAAATACATTATCTGTGAAAATTTCAACTGTCTTACTTTCACGGTTAATGAGATACAGAAAACAGCGGAGTCTTATTAAAGAGTCCCGTTTAACCCTTTGGGTACGGAACCCTAAAAAACGAGAAAAAATACATCACATTAACCAAATTTATTTACTAATGTTCACAAAGGTTGAAAACGTAACGAAAACTGTACTTAGCGGTGCATGCGAAAACAAAAGTTTTTCCTTAAAACTAATTGAATACGATCATGACCTGAACGCCGAAGGATAAATTACCATCAATTTAGTAATCCCTAGCGGCGGCGGTCCTGTGATGACGCGGAGACTCGCAAGAATAGGTACGTACTTTGCCACCGTGGCGACGACAAATAAAATGAACAGTCTAAGAGCTAGCAACGTTTTCGAGAGAGAATTTCAGTTTAGGCCAGATTTTTGATATGCTATCTCTCTCACTCTCCCCGACGTCATACGGGCTATTTGGCTCTCGGTAGAGGTTGTGTCATCAGAAATTTTCTCAATTTAATGACAAATCAACCACTTAAGCAGTGGGATATAGTGAAATGAACTTCACCATGCGATCAAACAAAAAGACTTATTCGATTAAATCAAATATTTTTTTTTCGATTTAAAATATTGGTATATTATGATACATACCTTAGTCAAACACTCATAATTATGTGACTAATTTAAGTCACACAAAACCAATCAAAACACTTACTTACTCATGCAAAAACGAACAAATAAGAGGATGGAGGTATGTTACACATAAGATCAAGTTGTAATACAGTAGTGGTGCTTTAAACAACAAACACAAATATAGCAACACTGTCCAAGCCAGATTTACGATATCGGGACTTATGACATATGAGGTTACATTCTAAGAAAGGGGGACCAGGCAAAAGATATATTTAACATTCGGGGTAGTACAAAGCATAATACAAAGAAAGTTTAAATTAAGATTACAAAATATCGAGAACGGGATACCGGAGAAAGAGAGTTAGTTAGTACAGTATCGGAGCCCCGGAATTGTATTGAGGTACTCACAGTCCGGTGCGGGGGGCTCAGGGCTGGCGAGAAGGCAGGCGGCCCACTCGGCGCGCGCTATCTCACCGTCACCGTCGCCGTCGCAACCCCGGGCCCACGCACGGGCGCACCGTTTGGGCTTCACCACCTAAGTCACCGTCACGAGTTACCACCACGGCTGCTTGTTAAGCCGTCTCTCACTTTCGTCTTATGCTAACAAGAAAACAACCTATTCACTTCCTCCGTTGCTGTTGCCGTTTCGAGCTTATATACAAATCGTCCACTGAGAAGACTCTTCAAAAGTTCGCGTAAAATAGCTCTTAACGGAAATGGTGAAATGATTAATTGACTACTAGCGGATCCGACAGACGTTGTTCTGTGCACACGACTTAAATCCGACAAAAACATACAAATAAAAAGAAATTGTAGTGGACCGAGTACTGGATCTAAACTATTCTCAAATCGACCTAAAGACACACAAAATTTTATTAAAATCGGTGCAGCCGTTTAGGAGTCCAATGACATTTACACGCACAAAACAATTATATTTACGAGTATATAAGGATATGCGAAAGCTTCTGAAATATAACGGGATCCATCAATGTTAGTACGATAAAGCGAACCTTTTTAATTAGTCTTCGTAAGCCCCTGTATTCAGATTTCTGCAGGGTGCCGCTTCTGTCCCGATCAAGTTCTCGAAACTTCCATTCGGCCACAGCCCGTGACTCCATAGGAGCGCCTCCTGTCTCCGACCGTACTCTCTCGTACTCGCCGCTAAATATTTTTATCAGGTTCCCGTTGAACTGAACGCGGTCTATACGAGTGCAACCTGGAATAACAGATTGGTTGTAATCAGTTGTAAATCCAAATGTAGTTCAGAAGTAATGCACGGAATGCATCTGTGAAATAGGACGGCAGATTGAAACCCACCCGTCGCGACTTACACAGCGCAATCGTTGAGTAATGCAATGTAAATTGATCGCGATAAATCAAACGAGCAACAACTAAAAACAATTGTCAATCAGGGCCCGAGCGATGTAATAAATTGCAAATAAAAAACGTCTGATGCAATACTGCGACGACTAATAATTTTTTCTCTATCTTAACGGTTTTTTCTCAACTCATGGGCGTGTTTATTACCACTTAGGAAATGGCGTGTGGATAACTAATACATACAATTACTAGCTGGAGAAATACGCAATAGATACTTTTTACCAGTATTAAGCTAAAAAAATCTTTTAATACGTAATGTAGAATTTTACAAATTAGTATACATTCGGCTATGGAATGACTACGTTAGGGAAATATCGTGCAGTTGATTTTATTACAGCCAACATTATTCGACTGTGGAGGAAAAAAACCGCCTCGTACTTTCTTATCAACATACTTGGTGCTAATAATAAAAAAGACGGCGATCAAAGGACCTTGATTTCTAATAGTAATGTACTAGACAAGGCTAAAATCGTATTCTTTTTGTTACTTTGTTGCTAGATTAATTTATTTCATACGTAAATTCTTATCGATAATTAACCCAAACCGTAACTTAATTGTAACTACTGACAACTCACGCTTGGAAATATACTTTGTATAGAGTTAGTGATAAGCATAATTTTAATGGTCTCAAGCCAAGTCCAATAAAAATTGATGAACGTTAATAACTCATACATAACTTACCACGATGTTTTTATGTCTCAAACTTACTTCTTTTATTCCGTTGACCCCGAACCGAGGATCGTCGCCGTGTGTGCGATTTACCTGCGAAAAATAAGAGCTTAAAAGGTCAGTCTGTTAGAGGAGTTGTCAGAACCAAAACAGACACTTTTGTACGTGTAAAGCTGTTTATAGTTGACTGGCGACCCGCCCCGGCTTCGCACGGGTACAATGTATTATACAAAGAAACCTTCCTCTTGAATCGCTCTATCTAGTAAAAAAAAACCGCATCAAGATCCGTTGCGTAGTTTTAAAGATCTAAGCATACAAAGGGACAGACAGCGGAAGTCGTCCCGCAGACGTGTAGTGATGTCAGCTTAATGACGAAAATAATTGAGGCTCGAATCAATTTGAGGCTAACCTCCTCAAACGTTGTCTTGCATCGTTCTCCTTAATTATTAAAACGCGGAGAAGACATAAGTTATTAATAGACTATATGCAAAAGTCTTTTAATTGTTTTTAAAATTAATTGTTTTTACACAGGTGAGTATCATAAACCTTTAAAAGCTGCTTATTATTACGAACGTCCATAAATTACAAGATGGGGCGTGGAGAACCTGACCTTTTTGTTCATTACATGCAAATCCAAATCGCCACGGGCTAATCAGACTTAAATAGACATTGCATTTTATAAGTGAATAAACCTCTTTTGTTGACTTTTTGGACACGAGATGACTTCTTTAGATCTCATTCACAATCGCTTTCAATAGATTAGTATAAAAAGTAAACCTTATTATAAAAAAAAAGTTTTTTAAATAAAGGCAAAGTATACACAAAAATTCCTCATAAAAATGTAATCTTTTGTAGTCTTATACACTGTGTCTGACGAGCGTTGAGATAAGTATGTGTTGTCAAGATGAAATGACAAATTGAGTAGCGAAGATGTCGCTATAACTATATGAAATAGTAAGAAGCAGAATATTGGATGATAATCCGCAACATGCGCACGGAAAGGAAGTCTCTGACCTTTTTGAATTTATAGGATATTTAAGATGCTCGCTCACAACGACACCGAAATGATGATGTTAGTTACAAAGCGACCAACTTCACGGTATTACCATGGCTACCACCAGTAACAACTTTTTGATATTTGCCTATATTTCCAAGTTATTTAATTATACCGTTATCAATTGCATTTAAAGTCTTTTTCACAAATAATGAGTTGCATAGGGGATAAAAATTTTATTTCTCTTTCTTTTGGTCCGCTAAAGAACCTCTAAAGAAATATAACTTCTTACGTGCGTATATATTGTCGCATATAATTTTTTCAATTTTTCCCTTATTGTCGAGCTCTATTAAAATTGACATTTATTTAAAGCCTATAAAGACTAATTACTTTCTTTCGTTTATTTATATAAATGTCAAATAGTAATACATTTAGTTTATTCCTAACATTTATCGTTTTATTTAACCTATAAGTATTTTTCTAAAACTTTCAACCCTAATTTACTTTAGAAATTTGTTATGCGGATCAACACAATAACATAGTGGAGCATTAAAAAATGAAATAATTATACGGAAGGAGTGGAAAAGTGTTCTAAAAGCCATAATAATTATATAGTTTTTCATTTTAAAAGAAGAACAAAACCCAGAAATCGGTATATGCTCATGCCGCGGACTAAAATAACGTACTTATGCTGATCAGGGACAGACTACCCAATTTCGGCTGCCGTGAATGAAGTTAAAAGCATCTGCAAAATAGAGCTGACTCTCTAGATAATGTAAAATATAATGTTAATCTATCGCATCGATTACTATTATCAGAGAGCGACGGAACCTATATTACATTCAATTGATTTTTTTTAATTAAAAATTATTGACTTTATTATTGTAAATTTAGTAAAAAAGGCCAAATGTAGTAACATTTACGATTTTTAACGACATGGCAGCGTTTTGATTATGCTCAATACTTATTGGTTGGAGAATCCATTCATTTACTTGAAACGAATCTACCGATTCCCATTCCTTATTTATAATTTTATTTATAGTTGTGTTATGTATGTGTTTTAATATAGACTACATTTAAATAAAATTAAAACAGTTTCTCACATAGAACCTCTATAATTGATGTTCAAGGCGGCGCGCCGACAGTCATAAAACTTAAAAATTAGGGGGAACTTAATGTTGATCAACTAAGCTGGGCGAACAAACACTTTATAAAGATCAATGGGCCAAAAGTACAAACGAGATCCCTTTCGAACATCTAGGAACAATTCTAAAGATAGAATGACCACCGGTTACTTTTAAGATTCTTGATAAGAGACCTTAAAAGACAGTAGACTTGTTCATTGCGTCAACTTGTCACTTTAAACCAGCACTATCGTGCATGGCGTAGGCAGGATGTATACCTTAATATATAATTGTGTTAACGACGGTGTGCATCGGAGTGATTATATTATTTGAGGCTAGCTGTGCGGTGTCCGCACCCTGAAGGGCGCGGAGAGGAGACGACTGGGTGGGGGGTGGGGGAGAGGCTGTGACCGTCTGCCTAACCGGTCCAAACAGTGATGTAGTGATGTGCCCATTAGTCAATACAAAAAAGCGCCAACGATTTTACTCAAACCATATGCATGTTTATTTTTATTCAATTGTTTCGTCCTCCAAGTTCTCTCCAAATTTATTTAAACTATATAATATGAAAAATTAATGTAGGTCGAGTGAAGCGAGAAATGGACTATAAAAATAATGTACAGCGACTTTATTTTGGAATTGTGTCATTTCTATCCGGTAGATGCTATTTCCCTACAGCTGTGATGCGAAGACAGATGTTATAATTTAATATTTATTTTACATCATTAACGTTTCAAATATTTGGAAAAATATTTGAGACATATTATGTAACATCGAAATTCATGGACGAGCTTCATAAGTTATTGCCGTGGTTAAATCCGGAAATAACAGTCAAGTAACACCGATATCAAGAAGATCAATATAATAAAAATATCAAGAAGCGATGACGTTTGTAAATTAATATTTAATTTTGTACGAATTCAGTATATCATAGAAACGGGAGTCCTAACAATATCATTCGTCCCTTAAGGTATTTAACTCTATCGACACCAAGAAGACACCAGATTAGCTAGGAATTGATTATATATCCATTCCCACAATTATTACACAATGCCCGTGTCACAGATCCGTTATCGAAAAACGCGACCGAGGCGACGTAACTCTTCCTTAACAAGATCATTATGGAGCAGAAGCAGGTACGTAAACTAAATATAACACATCAAAGGTGCAGCGAACTATTCTGACACCGCTATTTAATGTTGTGTGGAGGTGGTTTTTTCAACGCCTCACGGCTGGCGGGTACGGTTTGCCGTCTGCGTGGACAAAAAAACACTCGATGCCCCATTGTGATCCGGCGTCGAGCTGTCTGTGGCGATCGGCCGTTTCTAAGAAACTTTGCACTCATATCATATGAAAGCAGGTCCTTAAACGCTCCACGCGCGGCCTTAGTGGTCATAATTGAAATGTTTACGTGTATTTATTAAAATAACTGTTTAGGTACCGAGTGGTATTTCCATCCAAGTTAATTAACGACGAGATTACGTGGAGGATCATTTTCAAATGATTATCGCATTGTTTGGTAAATGCAATATTTTTAGAAACGCCTTTGTTTAATTTTTTAAAATTATAAACATAACAATACTTTAGTTGCGTAATATTTAAAAGATTAAATGTATCTAAAATTGCATATTATCTAATAAACATAATCTACGCCGATTAGGTTTTAGATTCATCTTTATTTTTCTATTTTTTATGATTCCTATTAAGAAATAGGTATTTCTTTAAAAATAGTTTATGCGGTTGTTAGTGATTATTGTGGCTTGGAAACTGACTTGAGTGGAATGTGCCCCGCATTTGAAACGGCAAAAGTGGATTTGCCGAATTATCTATGAGTCTACGAGTTTGTTATCTAAAGTTCAAATTAAAAAGAATCGGATTAAAAATGAAATGAACAAGTCATATTGAAATAACTCTTTAATCTCGACCTCTTAAATTGGAGGTAAGGTGTTTGTTTTCGAGTCTGGGTGAGTCGTAATTGCCTGTTGTCATTAAAAGACAATATAAATCTCGTCGTATCACTATTCACATTTGCTCGATATCACTAATTAAATTTATTTCACGTACTCATCGTAAACCGAACAAAGCTCGGTCTGTTTTTTTTTCTGTATATCATGTATTTTGGAAATGACATTTAGATACAAATTACTGAGTAATGAAATATGCATAACATTTTTCGATTTTACCGACGTAATAATAAGAAAAAAATTACTGGTGTTTTTCACAAAAAGAACTTTAAAAAAAAGGAAATAAAATAACAAAATCATCTGGATCGCCAAAAACGAAAGAAAGCAATGATCTGGAATCGAAAAAAAAAGTAAAACAAATAAGTGTGTAAATGATTGTGACACGAACCACGGCCTTCTGTTTAAAAATGAAACCTAGCTAGATCGATTTTTCGCCCCCGAATCTACGCACATCTAAATTTCATGAAAATCGCTGGAGCCGCTTCCGAGATTCCGATTATATACTTAATATATATATATATATATATATATATATATATGTATATATATATAATCGGAATCTTTCATCAAAGTACTCTATGATTTATTTACATTAACAACATCACGAATCAGGTGTACAGTAAAATTCAGTTACCTTTAAATCCATATCTATTCACGATTTTCTTGTGTCGTATTTCGCATTAGGTTATTAATTAGGTTACCATACTGATATAAAAAATGCCTTATTGCTTAGGGCTTTCCTTAACCCTAAGTATTTATGCTTCTGCAGTTAATACTTGAGGCAGTATGACGAGATTAGGAAATTACACATGTCATACAGACAAAAAAAGTTATTACTACCGAAGAGTTTGTTTGGATAAATGTGAAGAAATACTTTTTATAAGGTTTTTAAAAGTTTAGGCAAAAAAAGTTATGAACGTGACAATAAACCAAAAGAAACCATATAGCATAGACAACGCTTAGAATGCTCGTACAGAATAAAGCATGAATGTCAATCCACGTCCAATAAAAAAAACATGAGACGAACATTCCGAGAACAATTGTTTATGGTGTTATTTCATATTGCACTTAGGTACGGCTGGATTTTATTATTATAAACATTTATTATGGATGCACCTCGGCGCTTTGCAGTGTCTATCAAGAATGCAAAGTGATCAACTGAGGACTGTTCAAAAGTCCGGGCGCGATCGTTCTATTTCATCAAATTTAAATTGTGAATTCTAATTTCGAATTCCAGCATTTTTTTTAAAACATCTCAGACTTGGACTTCTAAAACGATGTCTCGACTCCGTTTCCTGCCAATTAATTAATTCTATATTTCCAAAATAGTTTTGACATAAAACAGTTTATGCTTATCCACGGTGTATTTTATTTTAAGCTTTAAATTTGTTGATATTTATTAATTATCCTCTGAATGTTTTCAACCAAATCATATACGGAAGAATTTTGTTGATGATTCATTACTTGGTATACGTTTCATGTTTCGTGTCCATATAGAATGAAGTGAAACTTAATTCATATTTACCATTATACGATAGCGCATTTTCTTGCTTATTTGTGAAATCTTTTGAAAACTGCGGAAACTCTACAACTTTTATAATTGTTTATTTTTCAAATTGACATCTAATACATAAAATTCTCGCCTCACGGTGTTTGTAATTGAACTCCTCCGAAACGGCTCGACCGATTTTGAAATTTTGTGTGCATATCGGCCAGGTTGGAGAAACGGACATCTATTTTTCATCCCCCTAAATGTTAAGGGTGGTCCACCCCAAAACATTTTTTTCTACCCTACAAATAATTTATATGGCAAAAAACGTTTGCCGGGTCAGCTAGTATATTATATCCACTTCAATGGAATCATTGCGGGCTTGATAAATTGAATACCTTTAAACGAGCAATTCTTGTATATATATAATTAGATCTCGGAAACGGCTCCAGCGATTTCCATGAAATTTTGTATATGCGTAGATTCGGGGGCGAAAAATCGATCTAGCTAGGTTTCATTTTTAGAAAATGTCTTTTCATCACTGTTTTCAGGGAATGAAAAATATCATTCGAATATGACGGTAAATTTCGTCAAAAAAAATGTTATAATGGCTCGGTCGGTAATAGGGCGGCCCCGATACAGAAGACCGCAGTTCGTGTCACCAGATCATTGCTTTTTTTATTTTTTTTTAATTTCCAAAATATACGATTTACCAAAAAAGGTAAGGTCCTCCAGGTACTCATAAAGTTAACACACACGCATGGTCACATGGTTTCAGTAAGAAAACCTTAACTATCTATCCTATGATTGTCCTACTACGCGTGTGATTTTACCCGTAGGCTAGTGCGGGCTACAGTCGTTTTATGTATCTAGAGACAGGTCAGGAAATTACTAGTAATTACAAATGGTTCCAATGTGTTGAAAATTTGTATTACACCAATAATTAGTAATTATTGGTGTAATTAAATTTTTCTTTCGAACTGCGCGCGGTAAAATAACTCAGTACCGGTGGCGAATGAATTCACGTCTGACCAAGCTTTGTATAGAAAGAACTTCTGGCTTTGAGAACTTGTCACTAGAAGAGTCTACGGTATGGTGATGATGAGGGTGCGAGACGAACCCGAGTATATTTCTTAGATAATTAATGTGGGTACTTCCTGCAACTTCCTCTGCCAATGTAGGATTGGTTGATCAAAACTGTGCTATTGGGCCCAGCTTCTTGTTAGTTGATGAGATTATAAAGTTTATCCTTGGACTACATTGCTGCACTTGTTGGTTCACCTGATGTTAAGTGATAACCGCCGCCCACGGACATTTGCAACACCCGTATGGTTCCAGATGCAATGCCACCTTTTAATAAAATTAGTCCTGGTTGTTATCAATTATTAGACTAACGCCATTCTGATCATTATCTTAATGATCATTCTAATCAATTCAGAGAGTTTAAACATGTTTTTGGCAACTGAAATGGCATTTGACAGCTGATTAGTTAATTTCTACTATGATCAGTGTATCAAAAACCTGGTTTTAGAAGTTCAGATTTTATTCTCGTATCACGCAGGGCGAGCGTCGTGTCACATCCTTTTTCGAGCATGATGACAAAGTAGGGGCTCAAGACAGCTTTAATCCGATCATGTTAAAACGCTTTAACCGCCTTAATATAAATGATTGTACAAAATATTTATTTCATTTTCGTACGTTTCATGGGTTTATAACGAACTATTTCGATAAGTGTTCTGACGAAAGTTTTACGCAATCGCACTCCACTATACTTTTTATGGTTAAGAAAGGTTTAATCGAGTAAACTTTCAACAGTAATATTACGGATAGAAGTCACTTAAAGGTATAAGGATTGTTTAGAAGTTTTTGGGTTTTTAAACTATATACCAATTATTACAGTAACGATTGTAGTGAAGAGTAATTAAGTAATTTATTTATTTACTGTGATAGGGCCACATGCCAAATAGCAGCTTCGGCTGCATGCACAAATCGGCAGGCACGTCTGGGGAGCCACGAACGTCACAGGAAATCAGTGTGAAGTGTGAAAAGTGAAAAAAATTTATATATTCCATCCATTGTATGCCACTTTATGACTGGTAAAATATCAGTCTTTATAACCTGTCACAAAAATATCGCATATATTACATTATAATTTATAGGAATGCAAAACGAATATACAAACATGAATGCTCAATATTTAACACATTTATACAATTACCCATTATAATTTTGTAAAACTATATACAAATGTAAAACTTGAGATATCAACATCTTGAGCACGAAACCATCTATCTATATGAAAAGTAATTGTTAATAAGAATTTGAAATTTCGCCGGAATACCCCCGGCATCGTATTATTTCAAATATCATTTTATTAATCATAAAAAGCCCGAGTCCTTATGCGGCTGTATAAACATGTTACAATGACTAAGAACGCTTTCTAGGTATTCTCGCGTGAATGCGTGCAGAATGATAGGAATAACTTACGATCGAATGAACGCCGTGTAATAAGCCTGCCTTTGTAGCATCTAATATTCTAGCGAATTCCGTCTTTATTGGGATCGAGACGCATTTCATCGTACCACCGTCATCAACACTATATAGTATAAAACAAAGTCGTCCCGCTTTCCGCTTAGATCTTTAAAACTACGCAACGGATCTTGATGCGGGTTTTTTTACTGGATAGAGTTTCTAGAGTTAGGTTCATATGTATGATACATTTCACCCGGGGGCGGGTCGCTATTCCTTCATAAAGCGCACGCTAAAGCCACTCTGTGAAGTTCTCAATTTGTCGATCCGCGCAACTTCCTACCTTAGCTTATTGCCGAAACAAAAATGGAGTTTTTAGCCTCGTGCAACGTCTCAAAAGTGACCAGATTAATATACGACCCGGCCTCTAGAATGCGACGCATCCTGTTCGATCACGCGAAACCGAACTAACGCAGTCCCGTTCCGTGGCCAATTAAAATTCATAAATGCATATTAGTCATTTTTTGCTTTTTAATTTTAATGCGGATTCATAATGACGATATGCGACCGGTAGTAAATTTTTGAATGATTGTAAATTCTAATGGAATTGACTGTAGATTAAAAGGACATAACATAAGTTATGAATTATTAAAATTTATATTTGTACATGGAATTCGAAACATGTCAAAATATTTTTTTATTAACAACACATATTACTTGATTTTAAGATCCCAGTTTTATTCCCTTTATAGATTTCAACTACAGGTTTAATAGAACATAAACGAAGTGAAATAAAATAAATATTCATAATAACAATTATAGGACCAGATTTTCCTCCGAGTAAAGTTGTGTAAGCCGCTTGGCAGGTAAGTCCAATAAATCCAACGATAAACAGCCCGTATGCATTAATACATTTCCAACTATATCGCACCACCAGCATTAAGATTTGTGCAATGATATAAATCTTTAATCAAATATATTACAGATATAAGTATAACTATGGAGGATTTATATATCGTATAATAGTTAAGTGTTACTGGACTGGGTTGAACTGAATTTTATAAATATATGGTCTCAATCATTCTAGTACAGTGTCCATATGACCCAACTCAATTATTTATTAATGCAACTATTAATTTCGATTATGCAAAAAACCCTTGCATCCTTAAGAGGAGTCTTTGTTAAAAAGTCAATGTGAGAAAAGTGGTTTCGGAGTGGTAAAAGACATGTACTATTTGCATTATGAAAGTAGACATAATATGTATAGTATTAAAAATTTTATTTGACCCTCGCTTATAGAATTATGTACATATACCTATGTCATGAATGATTTAAAAATTAAGAACATTGAAAAAACAGTTACCTTTCATTGTTGATACCTAACAGTTTATCTGTAGAAAATAGGAATAGTGAATTATTAATATGCCTTCATTAATATTGAATGTAGTTAACACACGTTAATCCGCACATTAAATAATTTAATACACATTTGGAAAATAATGTAAAGTTTAACAAAAATATAACTCGTAAGGCGTTTTAATAATATCCGTGATTAAATAATCCGCGAATTTTAACGTCCGCAAAAATTGTTGCTACTGAGTCTGAGTCACGTCAAAAATTTGGCCTGACTCATTTAGTTAAAGCCCTGTCTCGGGCAGACTTCCGTTTAGTTTTCGTCTGTGATTATTGTTAGGTTTTTTACTGCCTACGTTTATGGCCAGAAAAATAAAAAGGCCTAATTTACTTCACAGTTTTATCTTCTGCATAACGCGACGTGACATTTAAACGACGAATTATGTTTTCTACAAAACTTACAGAGATTACATTTACGTCATAAATGTCTATACTAAACACGCAGTTGGAACTACCAAATTTTACATGAAGTCTGGTATCACACCAGACTTCATGTAAAATTTGGTAGGTGACTTATGTTAAAAATGGACGTCCGTATATGTGTAAATTGTTATAGGTGTTGTATTCGTATTATTTTATTGTTAAGAAAGGGCACTCGATGTTCCTTACTCTCCTATCGCATGGACACAATATAATATCTCGATACTTCGCATCTTCCCGTTTGTATCAATGCCGTTTAATATGATAATAGGCACCTGTCTAGTAAACAAGTCTGGATTGGTGGCTTCCGCCTTCATAAGCCCCTGACCGTTTTATTTGTCAGTATCGAACTTAATATTTGTAAAGGTAAATTTAAAGTTTCTTTAAATTAAGAGAAGTATCAATGGTACTCATAAACAACAATATCGTTACCGCTTACTGATTGTTACTTGATTTACAGTTATGATTTTAGTATAATTTTATTGCTCGGTTCCCTTTAATATTTTTCGGTAATTGTAAAAAAATTGGTAATATAATTTCGCTTTTACCAGCCGCCTGTCCGATTACTTTAAAAATACCACTACCGTAAGCTGTTAACACAGAGTTCTGCTAATGAAATAAACCATCTACCAGTTAATCAATGCTCCGCTCTGCTTAAAATCACAGTGCGTTAAGAAACAACATTTTTCATTCTAGGAACGCTGTGCAGAAATTTGGCTCCCGCACGCGTGTTAAATCTTTATAAAACAATAATCAATCTGTCGCAAGTAGATTTACAATAGTTGCGTTATGAAGCGAATGGCGAGGGGAAACACGGGGCTATGCAGTTGGCGACTGCGCGAGTTTTTTGTCAGGCTCTATTTTTTTACTACGTAGTAAAGTCATGATGGATCCAATGAGATTAATTTAGGGTTCACGACGACAGCAACGTTTGAAGACCGCTTAGCGTGTTACATAAACTTCGACGTCCATCTGGGGCAATGTTTACGAAATTATCCCAAGCGCAATATTTAGAATACGCAGTTGGGTCGAACACATGTTTACTATCCGGATTGGAAACTTTTTTCCAGAATACCCCAAAGCGTCTATGTTAACATCGTGATGGATTCTCTGTTATGTTGTGTTTGGATGAATTAATTGTAATGTTGTAAAAATAGGACAATAAAAGCTATTAGTATTACAAGTGTTCAAATTAATGACATAAAATTTCATTAGTCACATAAAAATCTGACTTTTTGAAGGAGATTTTTTTAATTAATTTCTTAGTATAAAAATAAATAATTCGGTTAATATCTCGTGCCTAATTCCGACGCAAACCGCTTCATACTTTTGTAGACCTTCGTTACGTATGCATAAAGTAATACCGATATAGGGTAACAACTAAGAAAACATATTATTATAAGTCATCAGTTATTCATTTTAATTTGTTATTGCCATAAAAATAATACCTTGATTATTTTTTTTAATAAAACATACGTAAATAGGGAAAGACATAATTAAACGTACATATACACATACAAAGAGATAACAATTCATAATAAATATCTCCAGTCTTATTTTTTTTTTTTTTTTAGCATTGCCCTTACTTTAGGATAACATTATCCTGTGTTGTAGGGACGTTTTTACAAACATAAATATCACGCGGACAAACACCCAGATGCGAAACAACTACCTGTGGGTCACACAAATAGTTGTCCCGTGTGGGAATCGAACCCACGACCCCCGACGCCGAAGCCAATACCTTGGCAACTGTGCCACGGGGTCATCCGAGGTCAAGTCTTAGATACTTAAAGAATCAATTACCTACTAGGAGGTAACGGTGATTCAAAATAGTCCAGCCCACCGCATTTCCAAACAGAACTCGATCGAGTGCGCAATATCGCATACAATAATAAATGGAGCCGAGTACGAGTTGAAGAGGGCACGGGCTAACTCACCGGTCTTGGTGCAGTCCGGCCTGCCGTTCCTCACCGCGGTGTCCGGCAGGGGCTTCCCGTCGGGGGTGACGCACCAGCAGCCCGCGGCGGCGCCGGCGGCCGCGCACTGCACCGGCGCGTAGGTGCCGTCGCCGCGGCAGCGAGGCACGAACGGGGCCCTGCGACCGCTGTGCGCGCTCAGGGCGTACCGTTGCACGATCAGACAGGAGGACTGGCCTGAGGGACGTCCTTCATCGTAGCGGCAGCAGCTTTGCAATTTTGTTTTCAATGTGAAAAGTCGCCAAGCGGTTCTCCTCATGTTAAGTGAATACCGCCCATGGACATCTGCTACACCCGAGGGTTGCAGATGTGTTGACAACCTTTTGAAGATTGTGTTCCGGCTACTTCACTCACTTATTAGGCCCGTTAGTTAATTTCTCGGGCTGTCGTCTCGTAAGACATCGTCCGTTGATAATGAGTGAACACCGCCGTCCAACGACATTTACAACGCCCAGGCGTGCTTGCAGAAGTTTATACAACTTTTATAAAAATGGTTCCCGGTTACCTCACTTACCAGACGGAACGCTAAAGTATAATATCTTAATTTTATGTTCAGAGATTAGATAAAAACCATAACAACGATACCACCTCTATTACAGTCATTGTTGTAATGGTTTTTACCATAATACATGTATACTAAAATTTAGGATCTATTTGAAATCTCATGTCCCAATGCGGTCCGGTGTGCCAGTTGCCTTATAAATGTTTGGAATTATATTTATTAATTTAATCATTGGTATGTCTTTGTCCTCGAAGTATCAACAACAGTAACCTCGAAGGACTTAAAATATAGTTTATCACCCCCTAACGGAAAAGATAGAACATCTACGGTGCAATCATGACATTGAAATAATTAAAATATAGTGGCTTATAATGATTTGCTGGGTAAAAGAACATTTTTAGGATTTTATCGATTTGATTTGTATTTAAATTTACGACGTGTCAAAATTTTACATTTTAGTTTAGTGAAAAAAAAGTTATATGCAAAGTGAGTAAAATACATAGTTTTATTTATAATACCCAGTGTTCTCTAATATAAAAAAAAAATAATTGTAATAAACACGAGTACTATGTTCATTTAGTGTCCCGGTACAGTTTAATATTTATTTCTAAGGCTTTTGCTAGTCAAAGCGAATCCTGAAATAGAATGACGTTGAAGAGGCTGTTTTCTTTAATAAAATCTTATTAAATATATAGATAGGGATCGTCTAGAACAGCGATTACAAAAGACCATTCATTCTATTGATAAAACGGGTTAAAACTTCCTATGCCTAAGTGCACAGTAAACGGTTTGAACGATCAGGCGGGGTTAAAGAAATTAGAAACAAGATTATACTACTACTGGATATGATGAAAAATTAATGAACATTATTGTCTTGAAGCTGGGCTAATAAACGCAGGCATATATTATAATGGTATATTTTGATATGAAGTAAAAAAACGTTTTTTCACGGTCTAAGCACAATGGATACATCAGTCATGTTACGGGTATTTGCGGTTTTATCATTAATACAAATTATTCATGATACAATTTGTAGTATATTTTAGTAAAGTTCCTAAAGATGACCGTTCCGAAAACACAACAGAATATATAATTATAAAAAATGAACTTATGCTTAAAATGGTTTTATTAAAGATCGAACCAGCTATTCTAACAAAATGAAATGTGTGTATTATATACTGTTTACATTGAATTAAATAATATAAACAATAGATTACAAGTGATACTTATAATACTCGTACTCTGTATGTAAAATTATTGTGTATTATTCTTTATGTACATACATAATCAACCTATTGATATTGAAAGACGTTGCGGTCACACTTGGTGATAGGGGCTGTAAGTAAAGATTTTATGCACACGATACAAATTCAACTCTCTCTCTCGTCTATCAAATATATTAATAAAATTAAAGATTAAACATAAAAATGGTATATTTCCCAATGTTAAATAACAACACACATTCTTATATTAATGACGTCCCAATTAATAACTTTTTAATATTCATACAACATACATGTACATAAATACAACATACCTCAGACTAACCTTGCTCTATGTTAACAAAATGTATGCCCACAAGCGTCTTCCCCGTGGAACTGAATTGCAAAAGACCAGCATTAAAGTACGCGGCCCTAGACGAGTATAACTCAAGTCTCTCACCAACACAAGGTCCTTTATGGGCAACGGAGGCGGGTTCTCCGGAACATTGCGCCTTTAGTAGGTGGCATTTTGAGGAGTAGTTCCGCCCGTCGGTGCCGCACACTGGCTGCTGAGAGTTGCCCGCATTGGCTTCGCAGGACGCGAACCTCGCCGCGCACGAACCATCACTTTGCGAATTCTAGAAAATTCGTACATCCTGTTAAGCCCTGCTTTTATGCGGAATAGGGGCAAGCGAGCCGGCGGTTCACCTGATGTTAAGTGACAACCGAGTGAGTAAACCAGACGAAACGCAGAAGATAATATATCTCAATGTAAAAACATTTGCCTCCATTTTAATATGACATTAAAATTCAGTTCGCGCTAGGTAAACGTATCCTTTAGATTCTGGTGCCAATTTTCACTTGGCAATGGCGAGCTTGATTCTCGTCACTGTCAGAAAACTAGATTTATACTCGGAGCCAAATATCTTGTATATTTAAAAAAAGTGTTGAATTAAGGAGTAAAACATGATTGCAGTCCCTTCATATCACACCACACGATTACTAACAGACTCGGCAACACTATAACAGGACTTTCATTGCTATAAGTTGATATGTAAAAACTAGTCTTATACTATTTTTTTGATACGTGGTTTAACTAATATAAAAAATAAGATACGCAGGGAAATATTTGTGGTGCATATTGTTACAAGACACGTAATTATTTTTCGAATAGGAAAAAAATAGAAAAATAATTAATTCATCGAGACTGCTTGGTCACCTCTTTATTACAATGTTTTTATTATAATGTCTAATCCTATTCCATCTCTTCGAACTTCAGTTTATGAGGACTACCTGTAATACTTAGTACTTAACAAGGTTGGACTAAGGTTTTGTAAAGATGATGTTGTCAACAAAAGAAATACAGCGAGTCGTTACCATCGCGACAATAAATGAACACACGTCTAACGCTTCCACATCGCGTCGGGGCCGTGGTGACACTCTGGAAGTACCGAGGTTTAGATTGGCTAAAACCAGAAAGTCGTTTTTTGGTAGATGCATCAACTTTTATAATAAAATAGGTGACATCCACAAACAACTAAGTATAAACAGTTTCAAACAATTTGTAAAAGCTACCTTAATGGCAAGGGCCTACTATAATGTCCAAGGTACATAAATAAAGATTAACGTTAAAAAAAATCCATAATTAAAAAAAATATTTTTCAAACAAACTAATTAAGTAAAAAAGAAACAAAATTTGTATCATCCTATACAACTCGTGCCACAGCGTCTCATTACAAGCTTCTCTACATTCAACCCATTCATATGCTTTGTGACCTTTACAAATGAACTTTACGTTACTGTTTTATACGTATGGGTGTTCTAAAATTGTTTGTTTTGGAAAATTTAATAACTGGGTTAATTTTGATGTTTAAAGAATGTAAATGTTTAATACAATTTTAAAAAGTTATCCTCTATATGTGTGTTCATTTATTGTCACGGTGGTATAATGAATAACTGAAAAGACAATAATTATGTTCCCATCAGTATCATGTAATAAATATATTATCTATGTGTCAGCATACTTGAATGTGTAAAGCGAATTCAAGTGGTTGTTAAACTGTTACATAGGTAATTTTTTAAAGTTATTCTTCTCTTGCCGCTTTTGGAAAAAAATATGAAAGTAATTTTTTTTACGATGCGCGGGTACACCGACAGCTAAAAAGCGACATGATGAAGTTGGTAGCAAGCGATCAACTTCACGGCATTACCATGGCAACCAGTAAAAACATTTTCATTCATCTTTAATTCCCAGTTATTTATTTAAACACATTATACTACACGTCAGTACAGAGTACTGGCACCGGGTAAAATTTTTAGTTATTTTTTTTATTACGCTAAAGAAGTATAACTTCTTACGTGCGAACATAATTACACACATAATTTTATTTTTATTTTTAAAAGACGAGGCAATGAAAAAGTCATGATAGCATCTAGATATACTTTGATTCTTCCATATAATTCATTTTCGCTATTATTATTACTATTCACATCACATACCGCTGGTTGCGGTTTTATTATGGACTGATGTGCGGATTCATTTAATTTTGTAGTTGATTGTGGCCAAATGGAATAGGAAAGGTGATAAACTTACGCCCTTTGAAGAAATAGCTTGTGTAAATGTTAATCTAGGAAAAAAAATTATATCTCAACACTTTAAAATAAATGACCTAATCGTGTTCGAGTACTGCAGCTTGACGATTTTCGGGACACTGTACCTAGTAATATGAGAAAAAAAACGACGGGACTTGTTTCTTAATTTAAATAATCAAACCATTAAATGTTATTCTATGCATTATGTCCATTAACACAGATATATTATGTAGGAGAGTTGATTGGTTGAATTGTTTAAAAGAATATTGATGTAGACCTTCTTATGAGATTACAATCTGTAGGTGGATATTTCCTGTTGGGACTGATTTATAGGTGCATCATCACATCACTTTCTTTATGCGTTTCGAGATTAAACGACTGTTTCCGTTCATCGACTTCGTTATACGTAGGCGAAGGTTCGTGTTAGGAGATTTCTTTTGACATTACTAATATATTACATTTGTACTGATAACTATCTGGGTTGGTGTGAATGTTGTAATGTTGGGTTGTTTTAAGCATGTTTCTTTTCGTTAAAGACATGCACGGGAACCCTATTATATGGTATGGGTGGAGTGAACCATTTCGGCAGGCAAATAGAAAATTTCGAATTGTGAATGGTACTACAATCAATTCCAAGGTACACGTCAGAAGTAATTAAATTTTCGTAAACGACTGACGACGTAATTAGACCCGTAATAATTAAATGTGTTTTAAACTGATTTGGTCTCTTTACCAATATTTCAAAACAGTTCACAATTTTAGATTAACATAACAAGGAAATAAAAGGGTTGCGCATTTTTCATTAACTTTGCGTTTCAGATTTTTTACGCAAGGACCTTGCCGTGGTACGATTCATACTTCATCAAAATTGTATTAATTCGTCGAAATGTAATGAAATACAGTTGCAACTTACTTCACACTAATTACGATGACATGAAAGAGAAAATAAATAAAAAAGGATAGTATTCGCCTATTTAAGTAAATATTCATGCATCCTGAAAGTAAATGCTTTATGCGTTTACTTTCAGGATGCATGAATAATTACAAAAGAATAAAAAAATACTTTATAAGAACTTATAACATTTCAGATCTAGATTTAAAAATGAAAATATTATGATATAGATACTAACGTACTAACGTAAAAGTGATTCATATTAAATGTAATGTTTAATACCATCTACACCTAGTTAAATAACGGTTTGCAATTACATATAATCATTCGTGACAGTAATTAATATAATCTCTGTTAATAGGAACACTAACCTGCAGTAATACAAGCAATAACCATTATAAAAAAAATCAATATAAACAATCTATTATATTTATAAATAACATTTTTAACCTTTACCAATGATTCATATTCACTACGGATTATAACATTCAGGGAACTTTATTAAGATACTTACAGAAAAAAAAACTTAATAAGATATAATATTACCTTTACGTCGGTAGCGGCTCCGGTAACATGATAAAGTAAGTTAAAAAAAAATAAATGTAACACAAAATCATAGCTAGTCATAATGTAAGACAAGTATGATATAAATATTTAAATACAGCTTTATTTTAATATTATTATTTATTTACAAAACACGTTCACAAAGCAAAACAAAACGATTATCAGGCGAACTTAATGTCAAAAACATTATTAACAACATATCGGCATTTTACTTGTTATCGATAATAAACATTAATATTAAAAAGTAGTAAAGTAATTTAAAAAGTATAGTCGAGACGTTAGAAAAGGAACAGCGTTATGAACAGAATAAAATACATTAAGCTAAGGAATAGATCCCGGTGCGGCACCGTGCCAGGTTGCTTCGCCACGAGCAAAAAGCGCACACGCACCCCGCCCACCGTGCAGCTTTTTGTTTCGTTCGTCTCGTCTCTATGCAGTTTAATTTAGTGCTGTAACCTAAGCGTTACATTTTTATGTTATTGTACGGTAACTAAAAACTAAATATATTTAATACTATATCTATAGATGTCTTTGTCCTTTTAATAGATATTTAAAAACGACATTCTTTAAATTTATAATTATAGCGTAGTTTCCAATATTTTTCATTAGCTTAAAATATATTAATTTTCTGATTTATGACTTTAATAAGTCAAAAGTAAAGTTAATTATTTTTTTAATTTCCACATTACTTTAAAACAAAGTTAAAAAATTAACTTTTCACTATTAAATAACTACGGGATGAATAATTGTTATTTCTTATTTTTAATATAGTAATAAAGCAGCATGAAATCTGATTCAATAACATAATAAGTGTTCTGTGGTCACTTTTCAAACAACAAAATCTTATTATTTAGACCAAGACATCACCAGATAGATAATAGTTCGAACAGTCAATTTCAGGTATGTACTCTGTGGTAGAGATGGGCAATTAAAAAAATTATACACAAATTACTTACACACATTATTAAAAAGCATCGATAATTATCGAGTTAAAAATATCGATAGGAATATCGTCAGCTTTCGCATGATTATTTGAATATATTTCCAAACCATTCAATATTCGTAACTAGATTCGAAAATAGTTGATTTTTTGAGAAAAATCCGAAAATTAATAATTTTGTTTAGCTATGATTTAATTGTATTAGTATTTTTAGCACGTAGTCTATAGTATAAACAAGATATAGCGGATATTGCATTTCATAAAGATTGTGGCGGGATTTTTTTAAGTTAACGATGCGCGAAGAGTATGCAAAGAGTATTTCGTAATATTAAACACGAAACCAGAGTTGCGTTTAAAAAATATATCGAAATTGACACGAATTCGATACTCTAAAATAAATATTGAATATCGATATATCGACGATATTTAACTATCATTGTGTGGAAAAATATTGATATTTATGCCCATGTCTACATTAAGAATGAGCTATACTAGTTCAAATCGAGTACCTGCTACGCCTGTTCCTGTTCCTTAAAAGTTACAGTGACAAATACCTGTTACAAAATAACAGCCTGTTATTTCATACTATGTTGTCACTTGTATATAAAACTGTTACCACAGAATAGAATGTGGGAACCTGTTATTTGTAACGGTTGTTTACATTGGTTGTTACAAAATATTAAGTTGCACATGTTATGTAGCAGAAAAACAGTATTATGTGGGTTAGGAATGTATAAATAAATAAAAAAAATCTTAAAAATAAACTCATTAAAACAATCCTTTATGTTTTTACAGGCTTAGGATAAAACAGTAAACAAAAGTCGGGCGTAGCCCTCGGGTGTTGCAGATGTCCATGGGCGGCGGTGATCATTTACCATCAGGTGAGCCTCCTGCTCGTATGCTGCTTTTTTCCCATAAAAAAAAAAAAAACAAAAACAAAAACAAAAACAACAACAATGATAATGTTAATATTGCAAAACGGTAATGTTCGGATAAGTTCTTTGCAAGTGACGCCAACGCCGTTCAACTTCATAGTAAAGTAAAAAAAGTATCAGCCTATACATGTCGCACAGCTGGGCAAAGCCTCCTCTATACAGAGGGTATCAGGGCATTAGTCCACCACGCGGTCCCACAGCGGATTGGTGGACTTATCTTCGAAATATTTTTTTTTTGTTATTACTTCGAAAATATGCAGGTTTACTCACGATGTTTTCCTTCACCGCTGAGCCTGAGATATGACCCATGAAAGAAAAAGAAAGAGCATGTGACAATGATAAAGTGTTCAGTAACAAGTAACAATTGTGACAGGGTGTAACAGCCTGTTACGGAACAATTTGGATGGAACAGTGGGACAGTGGAACAGGAACTGTTATTTAAGTTTGTTCGTAACAGGTACCGTCTGTTATCGCAGTTTTTTGAGATAACAGACGGTATATATTTATGTTATATTTAACGTCGTTTTGGGTAACTTTGAATTGCGGTTTAACTTTGAACAATGTTGTAAAAATGATTTATTAATTTAGATTTAAAGATTATTGCACGAAAACTGTTTTTGTTTTAATATCGTAGCTGCGTAAAACGACCGTTAAAATGTTTTGAAATAACGAAAAAAAAAAACTTTCAATTCAATAATTTGGCAAATTTTCTGCCTTTTCCGTGGTACATTCCAGTGCAGTCTTCGGAAATGTTTGTTACTCTCATTTGGAATCGTAATTAAAAATACAAAAATTATTGTAAACAGGAATGTTTTGGTTTTAATCTTTAAAAGTAGTGTATATGTCATTAATTTCAAATCATTATCCGTATTTGATGTTAGATATTGTGTAAAACTGATAAACTTTAGACAACGTTCAAAATCTAAATAATATGGGTAACATTGAATGGTTTAAAGTTACCATATTATTTTTATAACTTGCCAGGCTACGAATGGGGTGTCTTGTTCCTAGAAAGAAACCCAGAATTTAAAGCAAATATTAAAATGGAAATAGGAAGAGTCCCATCAGAAAATATATACAACATGGATGAGTCGGGATTTCATGACGATCCTGGAAACAATTTGTTGCTTTTTCGAAGTAAATACATCGTATATCTATCGATAGTTATTGTCAAAAACGAATGGCAATTGCAATACTATCGATACCATCGATACTATCGCATGCATTACTATCGATACTATCGATAGTATTGCTGTTATCATTAGTATTGGCACTTGGAGAGCCATCGATACTATCGACAGTATTGACTTAGACCAAGGATGAGCAACGCGCGGCCCGCGGGCCGCTTGCGGCCCCTTAAACATGTTTATGCGGCCCGCCAAGCGTTTCTAAAATTGAATTTATTTTATCGAATAATAAAATGCTAGTACATACTGAACCGAAATTATTTTTGTTCGTTTTTCTGTTCTTTTTTTGTTTTGTTTTACCTTGCATTAAAATTTGTATATATATTTTATTTTTTTTTATTCTAATATTTATTATAAATAAAGTTTTGTAAATTATTATGTGCGGCCCGCCAAAAAATTTGAAATTTAAATTGGCCCATTGATTAAAAAGGTTGCTCACCCCCGAACTTAGACGATATTATCGATAGTACAATCGATATCCTGAATAGTTTTCGAGGTCAACTATCGATAGTCAAACTATCAATAACAATGGTTGTCACAGCAGCTTAACAACATACATAATATTAATAATACATACCAGTATATATTAATATCAGTATATAATTATATATAATGTACTCTGCGATTAATACTCATTAATGAGTAAACTAACCTGCACTGTATGCTGTTTTCAAAGAGCACTTTTATATATCTGAAGTGGCTGTAAGGAGACTCATATTTGTGCCACATACTTCAGCTGCCTTCAATGACACCGTGGCCCTGATCAAATTACCTCTTAAATGAGAGATTGATTTTAGAAGAGTGGTAAAGCACTCATCCCAAACGCTTAGCATCTTTTTCAACGGATAAACATCAATTATCGGGTCAAATGGCACAGATCTCTAAAATAGGAAGAATGTTGATCGAAACAAGAGCCGCGAGGATGATGTCATTCAGGGAACCGTGGCGTGAAAAGTGGACGGCATTTTTTCGACAAGAAAGTGTGTAGCACCATATTTATCTACATCAAGTCATCAACACCACAAGTTAAAATAATTTGTTTGTCAGTATTTAATGGATAGCCCCTTAGAATGATTGTTAGAAATGTTCCACTAATGAAATATGGAACATTTGTAAGTAATATAGGTTACATTGTTAATGAATAATAAATCTTTCATTTACAGATCTACACATTAGTTGTTGAGATTGTAAGGAAAGACTGATAGTCAAAAATTAATGGTTGCTCACTAACTAATAAATATGACAGTTTTACAAATTTCATTACAAAGGCAAGCAAATTGGTCAAAAATTAATACAAATTAAAGTCTAATGAAATAACAGCTATTGTTTTACACAGCAATTTAAAACAAACAATAAAAATAAAAAAATTGTAAGTAATTCAGTACTTACATATAAAATTTATGTCTGTAAGTAATAATTTTTTTATTGTTCTGTTATTGGCAAAGACTGCATGTATTTGGTTCAAAAGTTGTTGACAAGTTATGTTACACTCAAGCAGTAGTTATATTTCTTACAGTCAGCATAGATGTGTATGGCTATTTGGAGTGTTATTTACTTTTTTTAGTTTACTGAATTGCAAGCACTCAGGAAAACAAAAATATCGTTTTTTTAAACATAAGCAACCTTCGGATGTTACATTTACTACAAAGAGTATATGCATGCAAATTGACAATACATTAAAAGGTGCATAAATGTTTTGCCATTAGGTTTCTATAAACAATTACATAAATTTAAATTTGGTAACAAATTAAAATTAATTAACAATTAGTACTTAGTCCTTGCACCAGAATGTTGATTATTCTATTTTATAATCACTATGATTATTGTGCTTTTATTTCCAGCACGACATAAAACATGTTTTCTTCGACCAGACACTGGTCCATGCAGAGCTGATATTATCCAATGGTATTATGATGCAAGACAGGGCAAATGCTATCGATTCTTTTGGGGAGGGTGTCAAGGTAATGGCAATAGATTTGAAACCAAAGATCTCTGTATAGAACATTGTAGACTTAATACTACAGCCCATACATGTGAGTACCAATAGAATTTTTTAGTACATAAAATAGTTCAGGTTACAATTTCGCACACAATTATTTACTCTTTTTAACTAAATTAGAAAAATATACAAATGAAGTCAAAAAGGTGTCCTTTCTAACTTAATGAGAATGAAAAAACTAAAAGTTTATTATTGTGTTTTTTGTTAATAATTGTGGTTTTCAAGTAAGATCCATATTCTTTTACAGCTAAAATTCCTAATTATTGTTCAATATCCTTTGACTATGGCAATTGCTTTGGCCAATTCTACCGTTGGGGATGGGACAAATTTGGCAAGTAAGGAAAAATACTCAATTAAATATTAAAAGAAGAATATATATACATAATATTATTAAAAGAGGCTTTAATTTGATGACGAAGTAGTTGATATTTAATTTATAGTGCTTTATGCCCTTAAGATGAAACATAAAAATTTGTGGGAAAAAAATGGAAGAAAAGTTTTTTGGCGAGTCAAATCCTCGTCTATCAGAAGTTACTTTTGGATGCCCATCTGGAATATGTGGGTTCAATTCGAAATTTAAAAGTTGAGATGAAATTTCAGCAATTGAAGCACCAAATCAAGAACATCTATCATTCAACTTATTAAAATTCTCTACCTTAAATACTATTAATGGAGTTCTAGGCAAAGCTATGTTATGGAATTATTTGGTCTAAATATTTCCATAACATAACATACTTTTACCTTTGATCCATGCTACCCACTGTTTCTGACTAAAATAAATTGTATATTTTATTTGTTTAATTTATACTAATTATTCACAACAAGGACTGTTAATAGTCTTTTGTTGCTTTTGTTAAAATGGTTTGTGTATACTTCAACCAGGTGTAAGATTATGTTCTCTTGTGTAATGTGATTTCTACAGAATTTCTTTTTTTCTTTTCAGAACCTGTAAACGTTACATGTACTCTGGATGTGGAGGAAATCAAAACAATTTCCACACACGTAGTGAATGTTTAAACAACTGCCTCAATCCTCCAAACAATACGCTGCAAGGAGTGCGCCATCTTACTACTTGCATACCCTTAGGCTTTATGAATCCATGATAAGTAATGGAACTGAGGATAATCAATAAATATTGCTGACTTAATGAAAAATCGACGCCGATAACCATAGGACGTGTAATGTCTATTTTTTACCATTATGGCTATATTTCATTGCTTTCTTTTTGGTAATGCTCATTGATTATATAATACTTGTATACAGCGTGTCGTTACAGCCGCGACAATAAATGAACACACATATAGAGGATAACTTTTTAAAATTGTATTAAACATTTACATTCTTTAAACATCAATATTCACCGAGTTATAAAATTTTCCAAAACAAACAATTTTAGAACACCCTTACGTATAAAACTGTAACGTAAAGTTCATTTGTAAAGGTCCCACAGCATATGAATGGGTTGAATAAATTTAAAAGACATAAAACATACTGTTAGAAGGAGAGACTTGTAATGCGATGCTGTGGCAACGAATGATAAAGTCGCTGAATTTATGAATCAGTCAGTAGTAGTTGTATAGGTGTTACAAATTTAGTTTCTTTTTTTTTAATTTAATTTGTTTGAAAATTTTGCTTTTTACTTATGGATTTTTTTAATTTTGTATTTTTTCATGATTATTGGCAAGCACCGTTAGACGTGTGTTCATTTATTGTATAATCAAAGATAATGCCATTAAGTAGTTTTTAGTTTTTCGCATTCAGATGGACCGTCAGAGGCGGTAGGTACCTTGTTTGATAATGTAATATATATATTACTTATTATGTACAAAAAATAAATGTAATTTTTAATCCCTTATTTTTATTAAAAACATCTTTGGATTTCTCCATACAGAGATTCCATCAGCAGATTCTAGTTAGTGATGTGGTGCAATAAATCTTAATTGATATAATTGTGTCAGATACATATTGTAACGCCCTATTAATAATAATAAACATTATTATTAATTAATCATAATTAAGATGAAAATAAAACGTTTAAGAACATTTAATCACAATAACAGTTAATAATATATACTTAAATTTAAGAAATATAAGTGTTAGTATGAGAAAATGATATTATCAAAAATTGATAAAAAATAGTTAAAAATCACTTAAAATACTCAAAAAAGGATATTTATTATAAATATATCAAGATACGATCACTATTATGTCCATTAAATACTATTCCATACTTAGTGATTTCTAAGGGAAGTATTATGTACCGTGCGGGGACACAATTGTATGATCGTACATATATAAGTACAGAGGTCGATCGCGACTCTTAGTACTATAGTGAAAGTACATTGTATGAACGTCCCATACCAATATCATATGGAAGTAAGGTCTAATGGATAAAAGTAATAATATGTGAAGGCTCAGAGAAAAAATAATAAATATATAAATACAATGAAGAGCAATGAATGACTTGGGACTTTATAAGAGATATTACTATGGAGTTGCATGGTACTTCTGTACGACGATATGGTCTACGGTAAACGTGGAACCATGAATGAATATGTCTTGAGTGGAGGACATATCATCGATAGCTGGTGATAGTTGGCGTCTTAGTCACCATCACTATGATACGTTAGCTGTCATTCGGCATAGTAAGAGTTTGGTGGTAGTTGGCGTCTTAGTGTGTTGCACTATGATACGTCGACTGATCATCTGACTTTGGGGAGTCTGGTGGTGGCTTGCGTCTTAGTGTATTCCATTATGATACGTTGGCTATTACTTGACTGGGGTGGGGGTCCGTTGGTGGTTGGCGTCTTAGTGTTTACGCTATGATACGTCGACTATCATTCGGATCGTGAAATAGTATGTTTGGACACTTCGTGTGTTCCGAGTATATTCTAAACTTTGGAGCCGAAGTTGATTGGAGTTATATTGGTGTGGCGTGAGGGTGTGACACCTACGCGATAGTCACATTGATACATGCGGCTATATGCAGTACTGCGTCTTGTGGTAGTTGCGGGGTGATTTGCGCCTAATATCATTGCATCGTATGATTCTGGTTGACGGAGGTTCGAGGTGATGATGTCTGCTGTGTATGCGGATAGGCTGTATGTTGGCGTGTTGACCTGCGAGAGTTGTATTGATGCATGTTGCATTTAGTGACATTGCGTCTTACGACATTTGCTTGGGAGACGACGCTATTCATAATGGCCGAGTCTGCGTCTCGGTTTGATGCACATCTCAGTAGATTTGTCCAAGTCTGGTTCCTGATGACGGAACTGCAGACTGTCTGACCTCCTGTATACGTTTTAACATAATTAACAAATCTCAGTAAAGTTCCCACCGTTCGAACGAATAATGGCAACTTGCTGGTTGGTGAGACAAACTTGATCGAAAATACACTATACTCAACGTCAGAGACACTGACAAATAAATATATGTTGCCAATTATAAACCCTTCTGATGGCTAAACATAAAAATCACAACTATGGCTATATCTGACTATTTCAATGGTTGGTGGAGCATATGCGTTTACCTCATGTGGATGGTAACTGGCGGGAGAAAACCTCTCAAGGCTGCGGCGATGCCGTGCAACGTTTTAACCATACCCTTGGGGTGAGCAGTGACTCATAACGCGCTCTGCGACGAAATGTCGTGCTAACCTTTTTAATGGTGGTGATGCCAAAACACTAACAATCACGTCTGCAGTCGCGGCGATCTGGCAAAAGTGGTGCCGCTTACGGAGGGCTTATTATATCATAGGGCCAGAGTGCCTGATCTTTAACACATGCCCAAAACCGTATTGACGTACATTCACGAAGACTGGATTTGTCGTTGACTTGTATGACGTTTACACGCATTGACATGCGCGACTTCGGTCAAAGTTTGTGCTTACGCACTGCCAATATGTTGGTTGGCGCTCACCGCACACGGCGTTGGTGAGTGTTTTCATGGAGCCGTGTGCCTTCCCTACATTTTTTTTAAAATGTGGGGGAGCTGTTGACTTGTATCGGGTATGTAAAATTGATGTGAGCCCTTTTCAAGAGAGAAGGGATATTAGTTTAAAATTAAATTGTGAGCCCTTTACAAGCGTGAGAGGGAGTATACTATATACTCTGAGCCCGTCTCAAGCGAGACGGGATTAGTTATTAAGAAAGCAATCTGACATTATCTCTGGCTTATACCACGACTAGTGAATATTTATCTATCCAAGATACACCTAAAAGAATCAAGTTACTAAATAAACACAACGTAAATGAGGTCCTACCGAATATGACGATCACAATAATATTTATACGGCTACCTTTAGAAAGATTCTATAAAAAGATCAATAATTTATCCTGGTCACGTAATGATGTTATATGATTTATTCATATAATGGGGCAGAAATATATAATTTTATATAATTATATATGCATGAAGGGGGGTTCAGTTACAATATGAGGTAACAAAACGTTTTAAGAATTCAAATGAAATAGGTAAAAAATTACAATGGAATAGCTAACGAATTTCTATTGCTTTTTCGTACCTGTCATCAAAACAAAATTTAGTGTCAGTAAGTTTGCATTGTATGTAGCTAACAGTCAGATTAGGTACGAACTGTGACAATACTATAATTAGCTCAATTGTTGAGGTCATTCTTCAAAAAGATTTCGGAGTTCGTTCATTTCAAATGTCTTCATCGCTATAAGCTCACAGGGGGGCGTAATAAAATCGGCCGTGTGTTGAAGAGATGTTTTAAGTATGACTCTAAAGTTAACAAAATACGAGGGATCTCTCACATGTAAGTTTTTTTATGTGAAAAGTTGCCAAGCGAGCAGGTCGTTCACCTGATGTTAAGTTAATACCACCGCCCATGGACATCTGCTACTCCCGAGGGTTTGCAGATGCATTGACAACCTTTTAAAAATTGGGCTCCGGCTACCTCACTCACCAGATGAAACGCGAAAGTATTGTTATGAAAGTCTTCAAAAGAGTCAGCAGGTCTTTCTCTCCAAATCCTTCGAACCCCTAACACGTAACAGTATTGTACCTACTTCCACTTTACGCCCGTCTTCTGTGAGGTCGTGGTACTTACACGGATGAGCATGCCCATTCGTACAACAGCCGAGGCTGCTGCGTGGCCCTACCACCGTTACGTATTCAATATATCTCGGATTTATTATTTTCGTAATATTTTAATATTTTCAGGTTAGAAAAGAATGAAAGAGGCAGGCAGTAATTTTTTTTTTTTTTATAATTATTTAATAATTTTTTTTAAGTACAGATGCAAATGTAAGCAAAGTTATCGTTTCCCAGTTTACTTTTCCTTTTTTGTCTATTCATTCACACATATTATGTAAGTACTTGTTTTATTTATTAATTAGTATTTTAAATAAAATAATTGAAAAGGAAAATGTTCTACTTAAAGAATGGATTGCAATTGTATACAATCAAAGAACGGACATAATGTTTGAACATAAAATGCAACCAACATGCACCCACCCGCTTTTAATTATCGCATCAATTTTCTCGAAACCATAATTAACAAGTACTCAACAGTTTGTCTCCATTCCGGTCATCAAAATATTCCCGAAATTAAAAAAAAACATTGTGTAGTTGCATACGATGCGAGTGAATCGTTTTTTCCCACACCCGCACAATGACATTTTTATCATTTCAAAATTTTTGACACTGCGGCTTATCGCACAGCTCGAAGTGAACTAAAAACAATTCGTCCCAGTTAGGACGTTTTCGTTGCCTCACTTATCGCACGTTAACAACATATCTGTAGTACAATATATCATTGGAACTAATGGAAAAATCTTAATTTTAAAACTGTCTAAGAGACAAAGAAGGAATACTGAGGAACTTAAAAATTTGTTACAGGAAATGTACTTGCGCCTATGATATCAGATTAATTAAAGATATTGATTCAGAAGACTATCGAAATTACCTGAAAATGAATGAAGAGATTTTTCAGTATTTTCTTAATAAATTATCGCTGAAAATGAATGAAGAGATTTTTCAGTATATTCTTAATAAAATATGAATGCTATAATTTTATATTTAACTAGCTGGCCTACGTAATTTCGTCTGCGCCAAATCTTCCGGGTCCATACGTTTT